CCTTGGGGAGGATCTCGCCCGGCTGTCGGGTGGCGGATCAGAGGCCACGGCGCTCAGTATGACCCGCGTCGGGGGTTTAAAGGTTTATCTTCCATCCGTACGCCGTTTGACTTGAGCTCATCGCCGTGTCCCTTAGAGAAGGAGTCCAGGAAATGTGCGTTAGAATGTTCACTATCCACTTACGTGTTCTGTAATGTGGGCTGACATGTAGTCAAACATCAGTAATATTTACACGGTTGTTTCTTCGTTGCGTCCATCTGTTCATGACATGAAGGATCCTGACAATAAACAGTTTACAAGGCTGTTCATGGCTCACTTCTCGATTGGAAAAGGTAACGCTATAGAATGTTGAATAAAAATGTAGAATCGGATGTGTAAAGAAAGTTGCAAACAACCCAAAGTGTAATACGACAAATAGTTTTTAAAAAGTCAAAGCATAGAATAGAAGTATGTCCAAAAATAATTAACTGTATATTATGTCATAGAATTTGATGGATCAGAATCTTGAAAAAGTTTTTAAAAGTTGACTAATTCTCAAAAGCAAATCATAGTTTAATATGTAAAAAATTGTGGGGGGGAAAAAAGGATTTTAAAAAAAAACTAATGAGAAACTTACATTAGAATTCAACAATTGAAATGACTTAATTTACAATTCTGAATGAAAAGGAGTTTGAAGATAGTCCTCCTTATTAAACATCCCCTTAAGCTCTATATGTAATTGAGTCCTAGTACAGAACATCATAAAACGTATGTAGATTTATGATAAAGTGCTTTATAATCTTATTCATATTTTACGCTACAGTGGTGGGCCGACTGCTTGTTTGAAGCAGCATGTGAAGCGGAATGCCGGGGGTGGGGGTGGGAGGAGGAGATATGGACCGGTCCGATAATGTGTGTGTGGGGGAGATGGTCCCCCATGTAAATAAGGCCCTTGCATGTGATTGCACCATTTAGAGGCAGAAACATCTGCATGCGGGTGAGAAGAAAACGCATCCACGAGGTCATCAAACACACTAGCACGTGCTCCCATCACCATGGAAACAAGCTTCTCCTCAGAGTCCAGATTCTTTTCCTTTCTTCATGCTCTGTGTTTTCCACCGAGGCCTCCGGGTTTGGCAAGTGAGAAAGTGTCAAATGAGGAATTTCTTTCTAAATTGAGACATTCTAAGACGGAGCCGCCGGCTCTCAGCATGATTCATACCAATAAAAAGCATCCATTTAAAAGTTAAACCACGGCGATTCCTTCAGCCTACAGCAATTATCAGAATATACAGCAGTTATACACTCTGTGCTACCTTGCTATTTTTGTACATTTTATTGTCACACTACACAATGAGTTTTTTCTAATCTATTTTGTCACATATACTGTGACTGAATACAGAATTCAGAAGAACTTGAATAAAAAAAAAACTGACAATAGTCATTTTGTATAATGAATTCTGCAATTTTCTTAGACCATCCTCTGTCCTTTCTTGAAATCTTTGTGTTAAATTAAATTAATTCCCGATTGGTTTTGGTCGGCGTTCTGCTGGAGCTCTAAGATGTGCTCGATGCAGGTTCCCCGTATCCATAGAAACCTTCTGATTACGCTTTTTAATTCAACCAGAAGGAGGCCATTATTATGTGAAATTGTTTTGTTGATACTACACTGCATACGTTATGGAATATATATACATACCAAAAGAAATTCAATAGAATTTTGCTAACGCATATTTTTACTAGATAAGTGATGTAGTATAAACTGATTAGGCTTGATGTTGTACTACTTTTCAATGACATACAATATATGGTTTTTATTAGCAACTTTTTTCTCAATTTTATTGACGTACTATAGTGTAACTTTTAATGACATGGTATAATATAGAAATAAAAGGTGGAAAAGTTGGTGCTATACAATAAGGTTTTCCTAAATCTTTTCAAACATTCATTACCACATGAATCTACAAAAGGTGCAGATTACGAGCAGGTGGAGGTGAGTGGATGAACAGGATGAACCAGTGACCTCTCAAGAGGAGCTCTGCTGTTCGGCATCCACACTGTTCAACGTAGCCGTGACTCCATCCACAAAACACACTGCCAACAATTATTTTATTCTACGCATGGATTCCTCTTTGGACTATTTTCAACCGTGTAACCGAAACACAAAGCTGCTCAGCAAACAATGATTCAAACATAACTTCACCACGTCCTTTAGAAAAGACTAAAGTGGGCAAGAAGCTGGGTGGGGGCATGTATGAGACAGAGTGGTTCGGTGGGTGTTAACGTTCTATTTTTAGATCCATTTCAGGGTCACGCTAATTGATATTCATTTGGAGGGAAACGTCAACATTAAGCACGGCAGCATCGACGCGTTGCATCCGACACCGAACGCCATCACACAATCAATGCACTGACTGAATATTAGTCAGACTGACACCTTCTACTCTTCTACCATTAGATGTGATGACAAAAATAAATGTATTCATAGGGATTAACACCCACATGTCTTCCAAAACGCAAATACATATCAATCCTAACCACATTTATTTACATCTGTATAGATAGAGATTAACAATAGAATTATTTAACAATAGAAATTGCCCCCCCCCCCACACACACACACACACACCTGTTGAATTACACGGGACCGTGTGAGTGGCTCATACATTAATGTAATCATGTTTATCCAGACAGAATAGTTGATGCTTTTCATCCATAAAAGCTCATGTAAATTCACCCCTGCACGCCGTGCACTAATGATTATAGGGGCACCGCAGTCTGGTTCCCTCGGCAGTACAACAACAACCGCATTATGTATTCAAGCATTTCCGAAAAGCCTGTGTTTGCCTGAGCAGTTAATATATATTACGTGGAATTGAAATTTCCTGGAGAAATGACACAGAGAGGATTTGACATTTCCCAGAAGAGGAACCGGGTGCTCGATCTCATTGGAATTCACAGAATAACAGAACAGCTTGACAGCACAACAAGTGTGAGAAAGCCACAATCAGCCTCTTTTTGTGACACGCACACAGAAGACTGCAGTCAAACCTCATATTAAAGGGGTGGAGACGAGGAGGAAAAGAGACACGTGGCTGTAAATCATCCCAGTTTCACCATCCGTGCCGATCGCTGCTTGGAGCCGTTTGTTTATTTGTGCTACCGAGCTCCAAACCCCCGGACGAGGGCCACGAGGAGATACCCACAAGAGGAACGGCAGACGACCACATTTCCTCTTTGACTTTGGAGCTCGTCTCCTGAGGTGGACTTCACCCGGTCTGTTGCCGCGCATCCCCAAGTTCACGTTGCTTAGTAATAGTCTTCAGGTCTCTGATTAAAGTGAGCTTCAAAGCTGCGCGCACGCTCATTACTCACCGCCGGCTGCATAATGAACCCCGGCGAGGAAGCTGATTAGGAAACGGCGTCCTTCAGAAGCATCCTGGTCCCAGCGCTCGGCGCTCCCGGCTCCATCGGAGGCCTCAGAGGTCACACGGTTTTTTTTTGCAGGTCTGATATCCGCAAATAAACAACAAGCCGCTGACCTTTTTCTGCACGACCGGCGTTTTTAGCTTCTCCTGCTGACATCAGAAGGCTGAATATTTCCCATTAAAGGTTGACTTTATTGCTCACAGGAGCAGCACAGGCAGGTAGTGGTGCCTGCAGGTCAGACGCTGGGATTTGTACATCTTATATTTGTTGTGAAATACGTATTAAAATCATCAGATAATGCCGTGTCTTATTAATAGTATCAGCATGAACACGTAATGACGTTCTGGTGAATAGAAGGAATATCGCTGGCCGATGAAGATGCTCTTGTGATTTGGATTAATTAGAGAGTGGTCTCATTTCTACCTTGAGTGGTTGCTAAGGAAGCTAAGTGTCGCGGTCTGATGCACAGAATGGAGGTTTTTTTATTTTTTATTACAATAAGAGTGAGCTAACCGTCATCTCACAAATGTGATCTTACTGAGCGTAAACAACTCTGTGTTCATAAAATGTATTTATTATAACTTCAAATTCTGAAATTCTGTTTTATAATCATTCATTTGGATTATTTATTTAATCTTCTTTTTACATTTTCAACTTTTGAAGATCTTTTTCTAAATGTAAAAAGTAATTCTAAGTAATTCTCATACCTTACTGCGCAGCATCAGGTGTAAGTCATCCTGCAGCTCATTGCATGAATGTCATGTGATAAAAAGGTGAAAAAAATAGAAAACGCCAGAACGGAGGAACAATGGAGGAAGGCGCAGCGGGCTCATGTCGCCCTCATGCAAGCGCTCAGCTGACATGACAGGAAGTAGAGTCCCTGAGCGGAAAGAACAGACGCGGGTGACGCACCGGAGGGGAGATAATCAGCACCGAGGCCTCTCATGAACACACCTGAGCCCCCCCCCCCCCCCCCAGACGTGACAGCGTACATATCGCACCGGGTCTCTGCACATGCTATTACACCACCAAGTCATGCAAAGCCTCAGAGGATCACCTGGGGAACTCATCACAAGCTGACAGTCGACCCGACGGTGATCACGCATCAGAACCCTGGTGGCGAAGCTGAAGCACAAATATGGATCGCGGGGGGGCGAAGTGCTCACACGCTTCACTACGCCAGTTTATGGGAGCAGGATTTCCCCCAGATATTTACATTGGCACAATAAGCAGATATCACGCACGCGGCGCGGCATGGAAAGTCCCACTGAGGGCGCACGTCCGCACCAGATAAACATTTGCTCATGACAGGTCAGTAGAAAGCTCCGCCATTCACCTGAACAGCCGACGCGTCGGTTCTTAAGGAGGAGATACAACGTCCCTCCGTTCGAACTGTGTTGAATAAAGCCCTTCGCATTTTGAAAAGGTACATGAAGGCCACCGTAGGTTCCTGATTCAAGTTCTATTGTTAATGTGAGAAAAAGGGAAACTATTGTTTAATAGTGTACACACAGAGCGATCAGTGCCGAAGCACAACAGACACACACACACACACACACACCCACACAAAAGAAAGACACACCTAAAGGCACTTTACCAAGGTAAGAAATGTCCATTTCTTTATTACATTCAACGTACAGTACACTTAAATTGCACATTTTCACCAGATATAGCAGCATTCTGACTGGCAAATGGACTCATTAATTAATAGGCACATCCAAAACATTTAAATAGAAATACGCTTGCCAGATGTGTCGTGTCGCACATGTTCAAATGCCACTTTAAGCTTTTCATTTACATGCCTCGTGGAACTAATTCTACACAGCTGAAACGCGCAGTCGTCCCCCTGCAACACCTCGGGGTTCGCAGCAGGTTTATTAAACAAGATTCACCCGTTTTATTTTCTGTGCCTTTCAGTGCATTCAGAGTTATGAACGGTTTTCCTTCCTTTGACTTTTAGTTTACTTCAAGGTTTCTGTTATTTTCTAGAATGACTTCCCATCATCCTCCTCGGGGGGGGGGGGTTGTACTCTGTGCTGAGTGGGTGGACAGAGGTCTGCAGCTGAGACAACTTCTAACGGTACAAGATGAGCTGAGATTTCGCATCAGCACCCAAATCGAAAAATAGGTATTTTTAATTACAAAAGCGTGGTACCGCGTCTGCACCGCCAAATTAAAAAACAACTCCAATCAAATGGCAATCGAACGTGAGCACAGCGCCACGCGTGGAAATTGTACGTTTCCAGTGATAAAAAAATTAAAATAAAAAAAAATCCCCCCACACGGTAAACTCAGAGGCCTTGTGACCAATGTGAGAGCACATGTCCTGCTGAGAACATTCTCACACACACACACACACACACACACACACACACACACACACACACACACACACACACACACACACACACACACACAGCAGGACTCTTCTAATGTCCTTTATTATAGAGTTAATATCGGATTCATCCTGTATTCTATTGAGGAACATCTCTTGTTTGGCTGTTTGTGTTTAACATTTAACACATTTGGCTGGTTTTCTCTGATAAAAAAAGGCTTTTGTAGAAAATCACGTTTACGGTCTCCAGGTCAGGCATTAACAACGCAATGGGCACTATTACGTGTTTTCATAGATCAATTTGATGCACGGTGAACAAAGGTTTGGTTCTATAGATCTGATATAATATATCTGACACAAAGTCAACTTCCTGGATTGTAGTTTGTTGTCTCACTGGTACCCATAGCAACCAGCACCTGGCCTTTTTCTTTTATTACACGCGGTGCTGATCTCGTTCTGGACACACGGCAGCAGAAGCGTACCAGCAAACAACTAAATCGCTCTAGAACGGCAACGGTACGTCATGTAAAAGCATGTTTCTAACATTGTCTGTCCCCCCCCCGTCAGACCACCGAGCGATGCTCTCCGCACACGTACACGGCGCTCGGCTGTATGCGCCTCTTCGTGTTGCCCGGCAGCTGAGGAAGGAACTTGAAGTACTTGGGCATCAGATCCAGGCAGGCGTCGCGGAACTTCTTGATCCGCCAGTAGTAAATGAGCGGGTTGAGGGCCGACTTGAGGTAGCACAGCCACAGGACCCACGTGCTGGTTCGGAAAAAGCTGTCTTTGCGGTAGAAGCCGTCGCTGAAGGTGGCCACCAGGCTGTAGGCGGTGAACGGGGCCCAGCACACCGTGAACACGGAGAAGAGGATGAGGATGGTGGTGAAGGCACGCGTCTTGAAGCTCATGTCCACGTTCATCTGGAAGGGCCTCTGGAGGCTCAGCAGGCCCAGCTTGCTCGCCTGGCTCAGGCAGATGCTGTCCGGGTGGCTGTGGATGCGGATGGCGTTGTGGCGGATGGTGTTCAGGATCCCCATGAACGTGTACAGCATGACCATGAAGGGCAGGAAGAAGAAGGCCAGCAGCATGACCAACACGTAGGTGTGGTAACCAGGCTCCACGCTGTAGCCAAATACGCACTGCGGGGCCCTGGGGGGGATCTGCAAGGGAGGGGAACCAACCGCCAGGGGGAAGGAGAAAATGAAGGAGAGCCCCCAGGTGACCACGATGAGCACTTTGGCTCTCTGGGGGCTCAGCTTGTCCTGCTTCTGGACAATAATGAGGAAGCGGTCGATGCTTATTATGAGCAGCACGGCCACGCCCTCCATCACGAAGAACCAGAAGAGCATGGCCGAGACGCGGCAGAAAGCGTCCCCGAAAATCCACTGGGTGGTCGCCACGGTGACCAGGGCGAAGGGCATGTTCAGGATGGCCAGCATCATGTCGGCGAACGCCAGGCTGGCCAGCAGGATGTTGATGGCCGAGCGCATGGCGGACCTCTGGTACACCATCAGGCACACCACCATGTTGCCCAGCAGAGCCAAGAGCAGGACGGCGACCATGACGGAGCAAAAGAAGACCTGCAGGGGGAGGCCGACGCCCGGCGGCGGGCCCGCGGGCGGCCGGGAGCCCGCGGCGGCGCTCTCCGTCGGCGGCCGCGCGGAGAAGTTCAGCAGTCCCGTGACGGGGCAGCAGAGGCTGGCGTTGACGTTGACGTCCCCCGCCTGCGGGGCGGGAGTGGAGCGGACCATTCTTCCCCCGGGGCGGACGGGCATCGTGAGCGGCGAGCTCACGTCAGGCACGGCGCGGCGGGCGCGGAGGTTTCCCGCCTGGCGCAGCGTGGCGCCGCCTTCGCCGCGGAGGAGCCCTGAGGAGCACAAAGAGGGCGATGAACGTCACGTAAATGACACAAAGGCGACGCAGGCGGCAAACAAAGCGCTCAGAGAGCTTCTCGTGCACACGAACAGAAGCCAATCCCAATCTGCTCGGCTTTGTAGCTATCAAAGGGATTCAATTACAACGTGACGATTAATTGTTAAATGAACCGTGAGATCCGACTTTCACACTTAAGTCTTGACTGTTCTTTTTTTGGAGAACTGCTTACAACTCAAGTGCATCCGAAAACAGTGTGTGTGGGCGGAGTAATTAGACCATCTGTATTTCCATTACTCAGCCCGCCGTCAGCTGGACGTCTTGAGGAAAACTTTGCTTGGTTTGCTCGCTTCTTCACACACATTATATTGTCGTACTGCGGGAGCAGTGTGACAGTAAACGCACGCATATGCAATTGCTCTGCGATTCTGTGTTCGCCGAAAAAGTCTGTGGATTGTTTGCTTTTGACTGTATGAGAAGATAAAAAAAGGTAAGAGCCCCAACGTGCCGTTTCTTGGCAAACAGGATATTGGTGAGGGGACAGTGTGTCCAGCTTGTCCCAGGGTGTCATCGAGGTCACATTAAGAAAAATAAACACCCCGCTCCGTCCTGTTTGCCCGAGACGTGATAAGAAACCCTTTTAAAACGCTCTTCTTTACTGCTGACAGAACAACAAACAGCCCCCCTGCCAACAAGTTAAATACTGCAATAAAAAAAATAAAAAAAACCTTATCACTTGTATAAACAGTGCACGCTGTTATTTCGGACTGCCGGGCTTCATTTACCATGGCTGAGCAACAAATGTGCCGTGCAGAAAAACAGTCCATTTTAAGTACTAAATTAATCATTTAAACAGGTTTTTTTTAATGCATTAATTTAGTCTTTGCGTGGGTGGAAAAAATTAATTACAGGCAATTATCATGAACACGGCGCCTGTGATGTGTTTAATGCGGCCGCGTTAAAACACAGGTTAGGTTCCACACCTGCATCTGTCATCTAACAAATGGCGTTATCTGGTGGCACCGCGGCCACGGGAGACAAAAGGACGCAGGCAAACAGGCCGGCAGCAGCCAAGCCGGGGAACCGTCGCCATGTTTACATCCGCCGCTCCATCACAAAAGACGAGCCGGCGAAGGAGGGCGACTGGTTGGATCTTGGCCTCCGGTCCCTACGCAGCACGCTTTCTAAAAAGGGCACGGGGGGCCTCGAGGACCACGAGACAACGCGCGACCCGAAAGGAGGCGCCTCGTCTCCTTCTCTCCTCTCCTTTGAAAAGGGTGGTGTGGCGCTTAGATGCTCAGACAGACACTTCAGCATCCGAGCAATCAAGTCAAACCTGCAGTGAAAAACGAACGTCACGGTACTTAGTGTTGGAAAAAGAGAAAAAACACACACAGGTAATTGTGGCAACGCAATTATGCAACAGAGATTTGCAGGGAGAATATGCAGAGAGCTTTTCAGCCGCATCTTGTAACCTTTCATGGCTAGGAAGCATAGTTAGGAGACTAAATGCGTACATGATTAGATGATGGCGCGGAGATTTATTCGTTCACGGGAATGAGATTGTAGCTTATTTATCCGTCAATTGTCAAATAGTGAGGATGGGTCTGAGATAAATCAGTGTGATTTCTGCAGATTTACCAATCTGAAGGCTGATGGAGATTACAGCACATTGTAATATAGAGTGCATGGACAGAAATGCATTACACCGGAGAGTAGATCGGCCATTACGCATCTAATAGCATTGATTGAGACTAGTCAGAGACAAAAAGGACGGCATAATAAGTAACAACCGAATATGTGATTGTGAATGAAGGCATTTCCCTTTTTATTTACAATTCAAAGTACAAAAATGGTATAATATATTCATAATAATAGTTCCATTTTGTTCATCAACTACCGACTTAGCGTTAAGTCATATGCATTATTGATGTAAACCTTGGAAGTGATTTTTTTTTTTTTTTAAAGTACCACTTCATTTTAACTTTTTGAATCCCAAAATCTCTAAATACATTTTTAGCAGTTGACATTTGATTTTGATTCAGGCAAATAAAAATTCCTCATTGTTAAATGACACGATTGGAAATGGAGTTGCATTGAAGACGCTGGCGGTGCAAAGACAAAAAGATGTCTCTGTGGACAAATAGTTATCAACTCCAAGTGAGAAATGTTTCTCTCGTGTTGGCCCCATTGATTTTTGTTTGGTTCACTTTTTGTATTATCATTATATATTTAAATAAATAAATAATTGCATATACACACACACACAGGTCCATTTATGTGACATGATGGGGGCGTCCTGCAGAAGACATTCACACTGAATCATATCAGAATCTGAGCATTGCAACACTTGATCTGTTCAACCAGGAGAGGAGCCCGAAAACCGAGTCAATTGTTGTTGTTGTTGTTGGGGGGGGGGCTGCCGAATAGAAACAGGCTTTCACCTCATCGACCCGCAGTAAGAGCAGCAGCTGCATATTGATGTTTGACGGCGCGCTGCCTCATTGTGATTCGACTATTCGAACAGAATGGTCGAACAAAATGGTTGAGACGACACGCAAGGAACGGGGGGGGGGAGAGACCACGTCTCTGCGGGGGGTCGTGGTGCGTCTCCTCGTCGACACTCAGCGCACATGTAGGAGAGACATAACGGCGCGTTGTTGACAGACGCCCCCCCCACCACCAGCCTCAGCCCCCGGTTGAGTTCAACGTGTGTGTCCGACATTACCTGCTTCATTCCCCCACGCTGGAGCTCCGCGGCGGCGGTAAGTGCGGCGGCTCAGTCCTCCTCCAAATGGTGCGTCTCGCCGCCCAAAAATGTCCTCCTCCTCCTGCTCCTCCTGGTTGGAGCGGAGACAGAAAGACGCTTCTTCGTCTCTGTGTCTCTGTCTGTCTCTCAGGGACGCAGCGCGTGGGCCCTGCGGCTGTTCCTTTGATGAGCGGTGCGAGTCGTGGATGAAGTCAAATCCAGAGCAGCGCGAGAGACGCCGCTACCATTGTCCACGTTTCCTTTCCTTTTTTTTTTTTTAACTGGTGGGTTAATACGAAGCTCCTCTTCCTCGCGCCCGCTTTCCTTCATCCAGATGTGAGACGAGCGCGGCCATTCCTGCGGTTACCGGCTGCGTACTTTCAGGCGTGCGGTCCAAACGACCCCCGCACACTGTTACAAACTACGCTCACTTTCGGCGATCTGGACCCGAGGAGAGCGAGCGTGATGCGACACCACTTCCCGTCTGGACTTTCAAAATAAAACCCAAGTGTAGCCCGCGATCCGTAGAACGCGTACATTGCTCATTCAATGAACACTGGTGAGACATTTCTAGCACTGGTTTGGGTTCGATGGGCATTTATTGTAAACAAAATAAGACTATTCCGTATCATATTATTATAATATATTTTGGGCAATATTGAACAATACTTTTGAATCTAAAGTATACGCTGATTTCAATATCTACAATAGCTTAGAATATATATATATATATATATATATATATATATATATATATATATATATATATATATATTGATCCTGTTGTGGAGTGGGATGAGGGCCATTCAGGTACGCTGGAGTCTTTTGCTGATGCCCAATGAAAGAAAGTCGTCCATCCTTCTCATCTTGTCCTGTAGTCTTCTGGGGGCTGTGTCTCGTTGCGAAGACACCACTGTGTGAAACTAGTTGCGTAAGTGCCGCTAAACTTAAAATGTTACGAGGGGATTTGGGGGCAAGGTTGAAAGAAATGAAAAGTGGTAAAAAGGTCAAAGTAAATGATGGAGAAACAACCGGACATGTCCGGCACAATGGGGAAAGAATATTGTTACGACCACAGCGTCTCAGGAACCAGATCCAAAGGTTTCTGGGCAAGATGAACAGTGTGTTTTTTTCCTGCCATGTGTCCGAGTCTAACAGATGCTGGAGGCCCTCTTCTCATCACATGTCTGCCAATAGCGCAGGTCCCACATGCCGATGCCTGATTGAGGTGAGTCGGGGGAGGAGGAGGCTGCATGTGAGGGGGAGACAGCATCCATGCTGAGACCTCACATGAAAAGGGAAGTGAAACACACACACACACACACACACACACACCGCAGCCTGCAATGAAGAAACGCTTTCTGCACTAACTGCATGCACGCTCACTCACACTGTAACTTAATTGGTCCTTCGAGCCGGATCTCTTTCTCCTCTCGAGGTTTGGACCTGACACTGTGTGCACGGGGAGTCTACTGAAACAAATAGGAATCAGGAGTTCCTGTTAGCCGTAAAAGCAAGAGCAGGTTTCTATCAACACAAAGGAGTCCTGGAAAATAGTTTAGATAAAAGCACTAATAGAAAACGATGATAATTATATAACATAGAATGGGGGTCGCTCCCCAGCAAAAAAAAATGAAAGGTTGCTAAGGATTTTTAAAAATGTATTTATTTTTTGGATGAGGCGCAGGAAGGAGGGAGTAAGAAGAGACGGTGAGAAATGAATAAGAAGAGGTGTGATGATTTGTGATTAATTCTCCTGATTTCAAGATGTGATATACGGGAGACGAAGCCTCCTCTGCCTGTTTTTCCTCCAGCTCTCTCTCCGGCCTTCATCCACCCGTCACGTCCTCCTCCACCTCCTCAGTCCCTCTCAGAGCCCGAGCCCAGACATTAAAAGAAATCATTCTCTTCTCCTGATGGTGTTCACATCCGACAGATTGCTCTTTTATTTATACATATTTGTCCCCCTCCCCCCTATTTTGAGGTCGGGTTTTTATGTCCATGGATTGATAACGTCCCTGATGTTGAAAAACCTTGTATTTACCAACTGCAAAGACTTCATTTATGAAAAATAACTAATTGTTTTTCCTCTGTGTTGATGGATTGTGGTGAAAGTGACACTCTCCAGAAGAGGACCAAAAAGAACCGATGCATCAGAAACCAAATCAATACTTCTATCAATTCTCCCAACTTGACACCTGTCCACAGGTCAACTCCATCTGTACTCAATCAATTCAATCACAAAGCCGGAATAAACGGATAATTGAATCCCCAATAAAGATAATTGATTGATGTCCCTTTCATCCTTCAACTCTTTTGGATCCCGCGGCCCTCGTACCTTATTGCTTTAATAGCAGGGGTGCAAACTCATCAGGGATGTAAAAGGTGACAAAGATCCAAACCCCCTCGGGGAAATATATATATTTTTTTTTTTAATAGATTTCGCTTTGGACGAACAGAATAAATATTAGCAAGAGGGAGGGAGGGGGCTTCTCACCCCTCATTCGCTAACATTACATTGATATCAGAGTAAGCCTTTGATTTCTCTGTTGATTTCCCATTTTTTATTTTAGGATTTTTTAATGTGAAGATAAGGTAGGTACATTTTTCGTCGTTTTCTCGCTTCGATTTTTCAAAAGTTCCCGAGAAATAGACACTGTACTATCCGATAACACCGTTATTGTAACCAGCAAAAATGGTAGATGTGATTTGCGAAGGCGTCTGTCAGCCGACTGTCTGACATCAGCACGTTAGCCTTCGTTAGAAAGACTTGACGTTCTTTTACGGCATCTAGGCAGCTATAGACCCCAAGATGACATGATGACACGAGTTGGCCAAACGAACAAGCTTGAAAAAAATATTCATGACAGCTTGCGTTCGCAGATTACTTGGGAGGACCGGACCACCCCCCCCCCCCAAAAATATATTTTTATTGCAGATCTACATGAATCACACAAATTACCTATTTTGAAACAAAAACTGCAAATTTCGCCGAAAGGTGACAAGTTTGCACCCCTGTAATAGGTACTCATTTGGGAGACTTTTTCTTTATCCTAAAAAGACTGCAGATATTCTGCAGATTTGCTCCAGCCCAGCTCCAGAGCTGAAGAAAAAAATCCTGCTGGTTGCATGAATGAGGTCTGACTGGAGCTTGAATCCCTGCCTATGCAGCTGGACAGGGACTCGTGGAGACTGCTTCTCCATCTCCTCTCAACCCTCCGGGCAAAGCAAGCCACTGATTGTTATGCTGACCTTTTACTTGGTCTGAAGACATATTTTAAATAAAATACTGGTATTTATTCATAACTTTATATTGCACAGTAATAAGTCGGGTCATATTTTGTCAAATGTCTGACATTCACATACGATCCAGTCCTACGAAGCCTTTATCTGCTTGGCCTTTTCCGTCTTGGGTGGTATGATGTGGACCTGGAAAGGAATGAAGAACTCCAGCAGAGCCTTGGTGTCCTTCAGGTCCAGAGAATATTCCTGAGCGATCTTCCCCAGCGTCCACGTCTGAGGCTGGCGCTGGTGGCTGCTCAGGGCCGTCAGAGCCTCGACGATGGTCAGTTTGCCTTTAGGAACATCGGTGAGCTCCACGGGGCTGAAAGTTTCCCCCGGCAGGCTGAACCTCAGCGGCCGCCGCTCCGCCTCGTCGCCCCCGGCCACGTCCTTCGAGTCCTGTGAGCAGAAGGAAGTCTAAAAACTCTGACAACCCCGTATTGTTTTGAGGAAAGACGTAATAAAGTGGGACAACTTGAACATGGTCAAATCATCCACCGTTGGAGACGCCATCAGTGTCCCAGTCTGACCTCTGCGGCCGGATCTTTCGACTCCACGTACACGGACTTCAGGAGGGTCAGCAGCGGGTCGTTCTTCTGGCTGACGGATCTCGCGGTCTCCAAAGCTGAAACAAACACACAGCGAGCACATGAGCGTGGACGGTTCTCCCGGGTCTTCATTCAGAAGCCTCAATGGTAACGTTGTGTCTGAGCCTGGCCAATCAACCCGGCGTCTAAGCTGCGTGTGGCCCGAGGAGACCACACAAGGCCGCGGGGGGCGGATCGAGCACTCACCGTCGGAGCTCCCGTCGGAGGCCGGCAGGTCGGCCTCGTGCCGCGGTGCCGCGCGGGGCTTTTCTTTGGAGATTTCTCGGTGAACTCGGCTTTCTAGATTGAAATTTCGGAACATACGCGCGACCCGTGCGCCCATGTTGGACATGTAACCGATTGACGCCGGTAACTGATAAAGTTTGTTCAAAATGTCGACGGCGAGCGAGAAGGTCCTTGTCACGGGGAAAAGGCGAAGGCACAAAGCTGAAGCGACTCCTGTTGGTCGGGAGTGTCATTGCTCAATTCCTTATTTGGTCGATAATTACAAAACATTGGTTTTTCTTGTTCTTTTTTTAATCCATCCATATAAATGTATTTTAAGTCCAATAAAAAAATGAACAAGGAGGGAATGTTAAGAATAGATAATAAAATACACGGAACTATAATAGAACTATAAGATTATGGTTAAGTTAATTTTCTCCTATGATTTAACTAGCGTTTACTAAGAATGTTTTAACCGAATGTTTTGCTGGCTCTGTGGCAGATCTATTGATGAAGAGCGTTATGAGTAAAATGTATTTTTCTTATTATTATTATTATTATGAGAAACTCATGAATCAAGAGGATGTGATGAATCAAGTCATTGTTTCGAGATAAGCCTTGGTAAAAACTTAAATAAAACACGATATTACAAGAGGAGACCCAACTTCATCCGTTATAGGTTTATTTGTATAAATCTCATGATATGCAATCATTTTAAAAGTACTTGATCTATGTAATACTATACTTCTTCTTTCCAACGTCAGGTAGACACGAGATGAGCTGTAACACGACCAGCAGATGGCAGCATTCGTATTCTAACGCAGTCCGAATAAAGAAAGAAAGTGGTTCTTTTTCTCACCTTCATTGTCTATGTTTGAAATACGTACCAAAGCCCTGCCTTCTTGTCACAATGAGAAATTATTTATTGGTGAGATAAATAAAGTAAATAAATCAGTTACCACTTCCGTCCGCCAAGTTCTCTGACCAGGCCAGACCACACAGTTAACTTTTTACACAGGCGAGGCCGTACGGAGCACATCTGGAGGTGGTTATCTGCTCAGTCATAACATAACAAACCACAGCACTTTATATTTTATTTGCGAGGAAAGGAATTCCTTTCATTTCACTCACTAACTGGTGTATGACTCCTGAGCTGATGGAATTCACTAAGTCACCAAAAGGCCAGAGGTTCTCAGTCAAAGATGTTGTTGCACATGTTGCACCACACCTGTGCACATAAAACACATAAGAAACAACAGAAATGAACCGACCGATAATGCAGAGATCAGAGGAATGTATTTGCAACAAAAAAAAGAACCAAAAAAGTGCTGTGAAAATGAATTTGTTCGTTTAAAAATAGATTACTGATCCCTGGTGTTTGGATTTAACAATTTGTAATTAATCACGTTTATCAGTTCTCGCCAACGCTATTGGCTGCGTTGAGCCGGAGGTTTCAGCAACACTTGATAAAAAAAAGAAGAGACGACGGCGAGGCGCATTTATGCATGTGAGGCTTGAGGAGCGAGGAGGAGTCGAGTGTCTAGACTGTTGACTTATAGAGTCGAAACAGATATGTATGAGCACCCCACATTAAATAAATGAAAGCTTCAACTGTTCGCTGCTTAAACAGGCTCAATGTATTCCTGTTTATCTGAAAACACATTGGCTTTTATGTCACGGCTGTTGTACGACTTAATGACCACATTATCAAATGGAATTGCTCTCAAAATTGTGCCATGACACGTAAACTTGCTCAAATGTCAAACCAGGTGCTGGTGATATTTTTTTCTATTTCATCTAAAGCCCAAGTTCTATCTTTAGGTTTTGATTAGGAGAAGAAGAATACAAACATTCCTCTCTCTCTCTCAGGTGCCTCGATGATGTACTGGACATATAAATGTTCAATAAAAGACACGAAATCTTCTGAGACCCACCTGTTGGTCTTTGGGGACGACTCCACTAGTGCACCACCACTAACAATAGTCCCCTAACAGTCTGCTTCTGTTTGAGAAGAACTTTCTTAGACATTTACAGAGGATTGTTAAAACAATGGAACTGTGTAATTGCCATTTTTTCCTGTCTTTGAAAACAAAGTAAAAAATCCCGTCCCAGGTAGGGAAATGAAAGTATTAAGAGAAGGACGAAGAAGCAGATGTCAACATCCAGGTCATCCTCACAACCGGGATACTTAATGCTTCTTAATGCATCAGTCGGTGTAACTTCACCCATATTCAATAATAAGGTGCTATTTTGTTAACTGATTGTATAGTTTGTATACATATGTATTGGGTGTTTTTAACCCTTACTAGGACTTGCGAATCCATGCCGCTAGACCCCATAAGTCCCAGATGACCACGAGTGCAGCATCCGAGCAGGCGAGTCTGTGGATGGAGTCTGACCGCACGTGTGTTGAGCCAGGACGTCAGCTGATATTTATTCATTATGTTATTCACACGCGTGTTTTTCCTTCCTTTCCTCTCTATGACCAAATGTGTAGCAGGGAAACAGACGTAATGCCTCAATGCCTCCAAGTAGTGAATGTCTTATCTTTTTTGATTTAAGCTGTAGTGCATGTCTGCGCTTCCATTTCCTACTGGACACAACACACAATGAATATGCATGTGGTCATTTTATTTACAAATAGTAAAAAAACACACACCATAAAAAATATATCTCGCTTTCACATATATACATTTAAATGTGTCTCCATGATTTATGTAGACAGGACGAATCTCCAGCAGGTGTGGTGACTGCATCATAGTGGCTAACCTTGAGATCTTTGACACAATGCAGGAGCTCTGAACTCAACAAAGACAAACTTCACGCTGACTTGGTTCTAAAGCTCCACAGAAGCTTCTTGCACCACAGGTGGTCTGGTTTCAAGTCGGTAATTCATCAATTCCTATTTGGAATCACTTACAAGTCATACATTACAAGTGTTTGGGCCACAGTCTTAAAAAAAAAAGATTTCAAGAATTCAAGAACACACGTATAATATTCTGGGAGTTATGAATGCAGTAGTAATTTCTAGAAAAAATTATAGTATTATGAGAATGGAGTTCTGAAGACCTCAGGGGCAAATTTGTATTTGGCAATTTAAAAATCCAATAGAAAATAGGGACAGTGGGAGTTTTCAATTCCAGAACACATTCTGAAAATTAACCTTTTTAGAAAATTTGTATGAAGTTGTAATTGTGGAGGAAAATAATAAGTAATATACTAAGAATTAATATTATTAAGATAGAAGTCATGATTATGAGGATGACATTTATAATATTTTATTGAGAATAAAATACATAGGGAATGTTTAGGGAAAGTAAAATAGAATTGTCAATTTACAATAAGTTGTCCTAAAATCTATTTTGTGTTCATTGATGAAGCCTGCGTGTGACTACAATATAATAATAACATTAAGGAGTGATTGTTGGAATAGTCTGATTTTTTTCTCTTTTCTTTATTCTTACGACGTTACATCTTATTCTAAAAATATCTATTTTTAAATGTCTTGACTTTCTTTTTTCTTTTTCCAAAACTGACCTCGTACTGCGCCATAACCATCTGCTCTGCGGCTGGACCCTGACGTCAACACTGTGTGTGAGAGCAGGAGGAGTACAGGTACAGTAAGATGAAGCAGTCGATCAGGAGGATGGTGTAGAAACACCTCTGCGTGTGCAAACTCCGGCCTCTCTGGAAGCGAGTCAGTAACACGGCCAGCAGCAGAAAGAAGGTGGCGGTGTTCAGGAGGAGAAAGAGTCTGATGTAGGAGGCGGTGCTGGAGAGCCCCTCGCTCGCGGCCGTGGCCACCATGTGCACCTCCTTGAATCTACGGCCCTTCACAAACGCCCCCTTTCTGTTTTTGCGGCCGTCCGCGTACTCCATGAAGGCTCCCCCGCCCTCCTCTGGACTGTCCTCAGAAGTACGCTTTGAAGTCCTCTGCCGCGCCTTCTTCTCGGTCACCTCAATTTGTGCAAAAATGTCCGGCAGACTCTCGGAGAGCGTCTCCCCGAGGTTCACCTTCTTCCCCCCTTTGCCCCTGCCCTGCTTCTTGGACATGGCGAACATCTTCTCTATCACCTCCTCCGTCTTCTTCTTGTCGGTAAACTGGAGGAGGCGCTCCGCGGTCTTGCGGAAGTTGGCGGTGTTCAGGACCCGCCCCAGGATGTGTCTCTCCATCTGCTGGAAGACGGGCTTGACGTGCTGCAGGTTGTCCTCCATCACGTTGACGTATTCCTCCACCTCGGCGGGCGAGCTGTCCTCCGCGCCCCCCGGCGCCCCCTTCTCGAACACGATCTTCTTGTGGTCCATTAGCACCATGGCGAACAGGGGCTTGCTGGGGAGCTCCCCGGTCAGCAGGTAGATGGTGTACATGTGATCCTTGGTGGCCAGGTAAATATCCACCCGCTGGTCGTCGCCGCGCAGGCTGAAGCTCTGCACGTCCACGCCCGGGCCGAAGAAAATGTAGGCCACCCTGGTGTGAGGGTACCTCAACGGCATTGTGACGTTCACATAGTTGGAGCCATTGTACGGGTACCCTCTGGGGTAATTCCAATAACCTACCACTCCTTTGCTGCTGTAGCCTGTGTCGTCCATCCAGAACATCTTGTACTTGTCCTCGTCGTGTGACGCGAACGCTCCGTGCACGCCGTCGGCCTTCGTGCCCTGGAACGGGAGCTCCGTGTTGTGAAAGAAGGCGCTCATGGCCCTGGTCGGGCTGTCTGGGTGCAGGTGGATGTGGTCCACCAGGAGCAGCAGCTGCGGGTGGAGAAGGAGCAGGTTTCTCTGGAAGTTCCTGATCCTCAGCTCAGGGTTATAAGCAGATTGTCCCTCGCCGCGGATGAAGACCATTCCCTGTCTCTCCATCGCGGCCTCGACTCTGCCCTCGGCGTCGGCCGCCAGGCCCGCCTTGTACTTCAGCCACTTGGAATCGCAGGCTTCCGTGACCTGCCCGGCCCACGGCTTGAAGCAGCTCCCCGGCAGCGCGGAGCTGAACAACACCGCGTTGTTCAGCAGCGTGTACTTGGGCCCGTAGAGCGCCTCGGTGACGAACGGGACGCCGTTGGGCGCGAACGTGAAGGTGTTCTGATCCGGGTGCTCGTGGCCGGCGTTGAAGTTCCTCCACCCTTTGATCCACTCTTTGTACTTGTTTCTGTGAACCATGTCGAAGATAGCACGTCCCCCCAGCTTCCCGGACTTGAAGGAGAGAAAGGTGCGGTTGGTGTCGGCGGGTAGAGCGCCGCCGTACGTCACCACGCCCCAGTCCTCAAAGTAGTGGAGTTGGGACGTTCCAAAGTCTGGCGGAGGCTTGGCGATCAGCTCTGGGTCGTACCTGTAGGACACAGATTTTTGAGCAATTACGACAAACCTAATAGAAACCAAAGCGTTCAAACTGGGGTTTTACAGAAAGGGCTAGAGTCTTTTATTAGACGTGCTAGTGTCTCTATCGTTATCGTGAGGTTGCCAGGCAACAGGCAGAGACTCCAGGAAGTCACTTGTGAACCACCACCTGATATGAACAAACAAGTCGAAAGTTCATTAGTGAACTTGGGATTTGTTGGTATGAATCTTTACATTTTGAACAGAACCAGGCAACTGCCTCCTTTTGTTTGAATCGCCAGATGAATAAATCTTGACCGTGGTGAAAATCTATTTGGTATAAAATCGCCATATGAGCGAAGTGGTTATGTTAAACCCCCATAACCTAGTCGTTAAGATGACGTGTGGAAACAAGTTGGTGTGCAAAAGAACAAGTTGTTCCTCTTTGAAATTCCCAGACACAAAAAAAAGAAGAAGAAAAAATAAATGGGAAAGTCATGACAGTAAATAAGCAAAAGGACGAGATGTGTTGCAGAAGGACATTTGAGAAACAGTTGTGTACAGTGCACTTGGGTATGACATGATTGGCTAATGGGAGGGCCGCAAAGGTCAATAAGATATGACGAAAGAATGAACGTGTTGGATTTTCTCAAGCTCGTCTGCAATAAAATACCCCCACTGGTTGCTAACTCTTCGTTTCACTGACTTCTACCACGACAAAAGTCAAAGGAAATACCGGCAAGGAAATCGCATTTCGAAACAAAGGCCGAAATGCGAGGTAGCCTTGTAATACAGCAGTAATTATACCCTGTAGTCGTGTGTTTGCATAATGAGCATCTCACCAGATGAACTCTGTGTGGAGCGTGCACCATCGCTGGCCCTTTCCAGCCTGCCCCGGTCCCTCCACCACCCTGTTCTGATGAATCACGTCTGCCAGCCAGTTCCCGCTGCCGTTACGCAACACGTAGCGATCCAAGAAGACCAGCTGGCTCTCCGGCCCGTAGAACCAGTTGTAGTTGGAATCTGCGATGGCCACGGTCCTCTGGAATCCTGCGGAGACGGGGGAAAGAAACACACACTTCAGCGGCGGCCTTTCACCCAGACGTCGTGCGGACGTTTGAGTTTCCCAGCGCCAACGATGCATGAAAGCAAGCGGACAGCTGTGCGCTGTCATTTTCATCACAATGGCCGACGGTGCGTTATCACCCTCCCCTTACGGTTTCATATGTATGAACGTACACCAGCGTGTCCAGCGTAGAGCGGCTCTCCACTCCGCCGGCGATGACACTTCAACCCCTTAATCCCAAGTCAACTGGCAGCTCGTGTTGCTGACAACTGGCCTTCCAAAATATGTTAGTTGCTGCACCATTTCCAGCCCGCTACTCCTTTTAATCGCTCACGTTTCCCCTGCTTTCGGATCTTAGGCTGAACCCCTTCGGATTCTCCCGTCCACTCAACTGTAAGCGGCTTTCACTTCAACTTCATTCGGGCAGAGAGAGAGAGAGAGAGAGAGAGAGAGAGGGGGCACCGGCTCTAACCGTTGAGCAGTGGGCTCCCCCGTTGACTGGTATCGTTCCGCCAGTACAAAGCGGCGATGCTCAGACCGAGAGAGTCTCGGGCCTCAAGACTTTTGCTGCTCACGTGGCTCCGGATTCCAGAGGCTCTCCGTGTTTTCTGAGCTCAGCCACAATACAGGAACTGTTGGCAGGGGGCTGCCAAATGCTGGAGCGTGACCCGGGGGCCCCTCCTCCGCTGCTGCCCTCCCCATGACCTTTCCCAGGACCGCAGGGAGCTTTTCCTGTGCCGAAGTGAAGGTTTCGGGACGGAGTACGTTGCATTTGTACGGACTGTAAAGCCCTCTGAGGCTAATTTGTATTTTTGCAATTTTGGGCAAAATACAATGGATTGAAATGAAGCTCTATGAGACACCACATCCCCACAGGACTCGGCTCAGCTTTGCAAATACATCCGGGAAGGAAATGACTACACGCATGCATACCCCATATCGGACAAGGTTACTTTCACGTCTGACCCAATGCATCCACCTTTGGCGATAAAGCTTTCTTGTATGTATCTTACATCTTGTATGTGTGAGACATTTGTGGCTAAATTAACACTCACTCACGGATTGTTGATTTTGCATTTTGGCTGCCTTTATATCAGGAATCAGGAAACATTCATTGCCATAAGTATATATGCAGTATATGCGCACATATGTGCACAGCAGTGAAACGGTAGCAAAGACATTTCGCTGGTAAAAAAGAAGAAAGGGGTGAAGGTGACACGTACCTGGCAGGATGGTCCTGTACAGGAAGGCAAAGTGTTTGAGCAGCCAGGGGTGGTCAAAGTGGCTGATGGAGAAGTGGCGCTGCACCAGGAACATGTACTGGAACAGAGAGCGGGTGGTGTAAGTCCCGTAGGCCACCCCTTCATACAGGGAGCCGTCCGTCACATCCTGCAGCAGGACCATGGACTTCTCCATGATGGACAGGACCTGCTTGGTCCACAGGTAGGCCTCCTGGAGGTAACCTGCGACACAGCAAACACGCCTTCTTCAATAGTGAGTCCATCGAACAACATTTACCAAAAAATATATATCCTCACGGGTTGTGTGTGACTTTGCTTTACTGTGTTAACACATTCACATCATAATCAATTAAATAACCATGGCAACAATCCTGTATAGACATCCAGATCCATCAAAAGTCAAATGTTTGACTTCTTCAACGTCTTCTGAATGCAGATATTGCACATTTTAAGTTAAGCTTCTTTTTTGTTTCTGTTCTTACAACAACCTTTCACCTGGTTCAGGACAGAACCCAGATGTAAAAGAGAGTTTCACTGGATTTATTTAATCTGAAAAAAAGTTGTTTTAACGTCAAAAACATTTTCAGCATGAAATAGCGAGGATTTCCTGGTCTACAATCAGATGAATCAGGCTCTTGTCCATGCGAGTGTGTGTGTGTGTGTTTTGACACGGACAGAACTAAAGAAAAGCAGCCTCTTAGTGCATGACCTAAAGAAACGTTCCCCTCACAGCATTTACCTGTGGCCGTGGAAAGGATGCCCCCCCCCCACGGTACCCACCCACACACTACACCGTGTATTCTCTATTAGACTTCCACATAGACTTTACTATGGAGGCGGCGACCACATAAACACTCCGGCCTCAGTTCATCGAGGAATCCCGGGGCATTCGGCGGTGACTGCGCAGACCCCCCCCCCACTCCCTGCCAGCCGAGTCCGCCCGACCGGAGCCGTGTTTGGTTTGGGGACCACTGGTCTACACAGAGCCAGTATTTACCATCAAGCAGGAACTCTCGGCACGCACAAAGACCGTATTGACACAAACAGAGCTTCGCCAGCGCGCACACAGGCCCGTCCCCCCCGGCTCCCCCCCCTCAGAGCAGCTCAGGCTTTGAGAACGTTCATTGCTTTCCTGAAAAGTAATAACATGAAATTAAAGGAAATCCTAGTAACATCTTTTCAGGAATAATAAACACAATTTATTTAGGTTTAAGTGAACTGAATCGTTGTTGTTTTTTTGTTGGCCTCTTGAAGACGCAGGAACAATTGGAAAATACCAGATGTTTGCCGCACGGCTTCTGTTTTTGGCTAACATGTAAATACAGCCGTTGGAGGCTGCCAGCCAGTTGCCACTGCCCAGGCTACCATCACTGTGTTTTGAGCCGTTTATATCTACTGCCGACGACCAGCGGGTGGATACTGAAGTACTGAAACTCCAACATCATCAAAACTAAAAGCAAGGGAAGCGATGACCAGAGGCTTACCGTACAATTGCAACACACTGATTACTGGAACACCAATAAAAGGAGTCATCCCCTCACTTCACCTCATGCAAATCAGTGTGCAGTTCCTCCGTTTTCCAAAAACCCAATAATGTGTCACCTCGTCCAACAAGCTTCTTGTGCAACGACCAGGGTTTTGTACATAACAGGCAGCCTGCACACTGGTTTTCTGATCCACGCTGAGCGCGTTGCTGAATGCTGCTCCTCATTGGGCGGAGATGGAATGAGGTAGTTTGGCTGTCAAGTGACTTGGATTCTTGAACAAGCGGGCTTGACCTTTCAGTATCTTAGCTTGACTCTGAGATGTCGGGTTGTTTGCCCCTGAGCTCACAGCGACTGTGGGTGAGTGGGGGAGCACGGTCGTCCTCCAATCAGAGGGTTGGCGGTTGGATCCCGGGCCCGGCTGACCCGCATGTCGACGTGTCCTTGGGCAAGACACTTAACCCAACATGGCTCCTGTAGCTGCGACTGCAGTGTGTGGATGTTAGTTGCTGGTGGACGGGTGTCACTGTGTGTGGTTCTCCTGTCAGTGCATGAATGGGTGTGAATGGGTGAATGACGTCATGTAGTGTTAAAGCGCTTTGAGTGGTCGGAAGACTAGAATAGCGCTAAACACAAGTACAGTCCATTTACCATTTTGGTTTTTACAGCAGCACCTGTGAGTAATGCATGACTCCCCCGAGGGGGGGTGGGGGGGTGTCGGGGGTCTTCGGGATGAATCGTGGGTACAACGTGTGCAGTTCAGATTCATGGCAGCAAGAAAGCAAACACCTGTATCTGGAATGTTCTGCTTTGTGTGTTTGTCTGAACTCAAGTCTGCCAGCGCTGCCAAAGCATATTTCTAATTTCAGCCAGTTTGAAAATAATCGTTTGTCTTAGGAGCGAGTTACCTCGTGGGCTTAACGTCTGTGTCAGATAACCAGTAAAGAAGACAGCGTTTGTTCTTCTTTCCCGATGGTGCAAATGTTAAACCTTCCATGTTACATCAGAATAATACTTAAGACGTAAATCCAAGTCATCCCTTTGCACAGGAAATGAATGATGCGAACAAAATGCAGTCGTGTTTCTGCTGATTGTCACACTTGAGACACTCTGCTATTCATGGCAAATTCGTCATTAAGAAGCCATTTTCCCACCTCTGCTGGGAATGACAATATCATCTCCAGCCGAGGTCTGCTGTTAAGGCCGCACAAGCTAAATAACAAAGAGCAGCCCTTTGTTACCCTTTTGCCAGGTAACAAAGGGCTGGAAATGGAGCGGGCCCACTTTTTGTTCGGCTGGACACAAAATGTAATGAGGCGGACAGAGTTCCATGTTCCACTGGGCTTTGTGCCTGTTGTTGAAAAAGCCTAAACTAAAATGTCTGTGACCACAGCGGTTCTCTGTAAGAGAAGCAGCGTGAGGAGGCACGCTGTCTCTATTCTTTGGCTTGTTTGTTGTTGCAAAATGTATTTACTCGTCACCAGCTGTCCAATCCCACTGGAGAAATGGCACAAAGATCAATGGTCACTTCCCACACGTAGGCTCCTCGCGGTGTTGTTGTCCTCAGGATGCACACGAAGGAGACCGGACTTACTTCTGATTCACATGTTGACATCGATTTGATAATCCATAGTAAACAAAGATATGATCCAACACGTCAACTTCACCCTCTGCAATGCCTTATTCTATCCAGACGTGTGTCATTGCGTAATTATATGTGTACCAAACATATTAACATCTTCCCACATTGTTATTTCTGCAGATGTCACCGAAGCATCGCACATGAAAAAAAACAAGTAACTCTTTCTGTTGATAAAAAGATCGGTAACGGTAAGTAGACATTCAGTTACTTTTGCCAAACTGAAACAAACCTTTTAACAAGCATTGTTAGTGGACTGACACTGATTTTTACAAAAGGTAAAACTCCAGCTTCTCAATTAATGTTTGGGCAGGTTAATCAATAACTAAACTCAATCAGTTACAGCTACTAACGTTTACTATGAACAAGCCGCAGTGAGCAGATTGGATGTCACATTCACTGAGAAGTATCACCAACTCTCTTCACATCAGTTCAGAACCTTAGCTTAGATAATATATATATATATATATGTGTGTGTATATATACAGTTGCCTTTTTACTGTCTGTCCAAAATGTATTCACTTCATTGTCAATTTCATTGTGACAATCGTTGTACGTCTTCTTAAGTTGTAGCCCGTGTTTTAGGAGGTGACAGTGACCCAAATGTGAAGCAATTCCCACCGGGTGCTTCTGAGTCACCCGCCAGTTTGTCCCGCGGACAACGCAACAACATAATAACTCAGGCAGTGGACGTTTCTCAGGTTGTTTCAAAAAAACAACTTGTTTTTTTGAGTCCCTCCACAACTGCATCTTTGGAAGTTTCTAAATCCTCCGAATCGGCCTTAAGACCATGAGACTAAACCGCCACACTAAAAAACAGACTAATGGCATTCCTTTAGTTGAGCTGAAGCCTCTTAATGCGGGCCGAGCCAGGTTTCTGCCCCTCAAAGTTCCCACACGGAGCCAGAATGAGTTATACGTTCATGGATATAATATATAAAGCAAAATAAATGATCAGCAAATGCTGGGAACCCTCCTGGCTCTAAACACACGTACCGGCCCTGCAGCCACAAGGCCTCAGTACACGACTGTGACGTCGTTTGTTGACGGCCGCTTTGAAGACTCAACTTTGTTTTTGAAGCCGCCATCTTGTTTTTCCGGAGGCGGTGTTGACAGCAAAGGGTGGAGCAGCGAATAAAACATTTTTAGACAACCAAAAGTTACAATTAACTGGGAAAGATTTGAAGTATTGAAGAACACACCCAACAGCTGTCAATCACAAGTTAGCCCCACCCACCACACCCTGCTTTAAAGGTCTATTAGACTACAAATGGGGGGTCATGATTTACAAAAGTATTAAAAAAAACAACAACTTGAAAGTAGAGACTGGCCATAAGCGCACAATGTTTTCCGGCACGAATGGCTGCTCCACTAACCTTGTGTCATGTAAACCAGGCTGCCGGTGAGCAGCGCCACGCAGTTGGTGGGCTGGTGGTTGTGCAGGTACTGGAACCCCCAGCCCCGGACGTAGGACTTCTCGTACATGAGGCGCGACGCGTTGCCGATCACCTGGAGGAAGCGCTCCTGCTGGCCCTTGTTCAAATACTCGTACAGGAAGTCGTAGGCGGTGGCGAAGCCGACCAGAGAGTGCGCCAGAGGGACTTCATCCCAGGGGGCGTCTTTAACCAGCCTGCAATACAAACACCGACACACCGGGGTCAGACGTATGCGGAGCACATGGAAGACAAACACTCGATGGTAATCAGGTGTCACCTTTTCACTCTGTGCTGGAAAATGTTGGTCATGAACAAGGAGCCCTCTTTTCCTCGCGAAGCCTTTTAATTACGTTTACCACGGTTGTAAAACATCTATTCTCGCTTTGAAAGCCCCCCCCCCCCCCCCAAAAAAAACCAAAGATGCTAAGTGGCAGTTTTCACCACAACTGCTGCACCAGCGCGTAGCAATAAAAAGACATAAAAAGTGCAGTGTGCGAATTCTCTCCCGGGTTAACGGGCGCTGGGATGTGAGAGCGCCGACTCCTGCGGCTTTAAAGGGCGCTAAGTGTTGGTGTTGTAAAAGAGCGAAAGGTGTCGTGTGATTACATTCTGCCCACGTAGGTTAACAACAAAGGAACCTTCGGATGTGGCGATGGAACCCGGCGCTGGATTTCAGACAGCCGTGAGTGGATTCAATAAATCACGCTGAAAGTCTCAGGCCGTGTTCACAACCTCGTGTTTACAGGGGGTTCCGACCACGAGTGGACAATGTTAAAGTACAGCTGGCGATGCCGCCGAAGACACGATGAGGAAGCACCAGGAGCAGCTCGCTCAGAACAAGTGGTCCTCATATCTTTTTATCGCTGTAATTCACCCGCGATGAAGAGCCGCCCTGTTCTGCAAATGACCAATGTTCTGATTAATGGAGATGCTTTTGTTTTTGCATATGGATGGAATAAAATTACAGGTGAATTAATTCAACTTAATGTTAATTAATGTTCATGTAGCTTACAATCAAGGAAATGCAAAAAATGCACGTGATATCAAAAGAGTTGCCGAGCCCTGATCTAAACCGTCGTACATGTGTGGGAATATATTACTTATAATATATTAGAATATATTAGAGAATAATTTAAGGCGTCGCGAATTGTTCTTCCGAAATTGTCTGTTAAAGAAAAAAGTGACATGTTGCATATGTATATTTTTGGGATGTGGATCTATTGATATATTTTGAATCCACTTAGTTCAACAGCAACTATGTTTTTCTTTGACATCTTTGCCGTCGCCGTTAACAACGCTGTTTAATGTCACGCGCCTTTGACTCTAGAGCATTAGATGATAATTGGAGCGAAGGGATTCTGACTTCAGATTCCCTCTTCTCAGAGTTGTTGTTTTTAAACCACCAAAGACGATGCCCTTCCAGAGGTGTGTTGAACATAAAGCATGAAATGACATTGTGCCAATACTTTGTATTGAATCATGCCAAAGCACACGGAAGCACACTTGTGTGTGTGTGTGTTTGCAGCCGCAGTGTGAGGGGATGGCGCGGGCGCCAGTTGGCCACAAAGTGGAAGCGCCCCATCTTAACATGGTTCATGGGAGTCCTGGGAGACATAATTGAAGGCGGTGAATACCACAGCTGACTGGCTCCTGGAGCCAACGTGCGAGGCTTCAGAGGTTCAGTGACCGTGATGAAAGTGCGGCCAAGGAGAGAAACTCACAGCGTGTTCTGAAGTTGTGAAAACACATGCTCGGTGGCTTCTCCTCTCTGCACGGTGGCCCACGTTCTCACACCGTAAGCAAAATGCCCTGCAGATTACGGTAATACCACCGTAGCTAGTTAGTTAGCACTAATTCTATGGGATCATGTGAGGGAACATCGGACGGTTGTCATGGACCCCGACGCTGGATGCAAGCACCTTCTCAAAGCGCCGTTTGTTTCTTAGGCTAATAGAAGCTGCGGAGAGCTCGGGAGCGGTGAATGAATGTAACCCACTTCTGGGCCACTTTGCACTCGCAAGCAGAACTAATGTTTATTGAACTCAATCAAATTGTTAGGGAAATAAGGAAGCAGCGTCGACGCCTGACGACTGCACGCCGTTCAGCCGTGGCTGACTGCGAAAAGAATGAGGATTGTTCAAATTTGGCTGGGCGGGTGGATTCAGCTGACTTGCTCGTTGCCCTTCTCACGGTACGGAAAATGGCAACAGGTTGTTGTTTTCTTGCAACTGATATCTACACAACATTTTGTATAGTTGTTTTCTAATCTATGGCGTTTCTAAAATGTTGAGCATCAGTGGTGTTTCAGATCAGTTATCTGTTCCAACAGGACTCAGGAGGTCTGTCCTTTGATAATGAGCTCATCGCCCGCAGTTAATTGGTTTGGGGTTAAATGATCACAACTTCTCTTAAACCTTTCTTTTCTCTACTGAGAGTGAGTGGATCATTTCAGCGTATTCGATCCCTCCATGGTAAAGTCTAACTTCCGAGAAGAACTCAGTGATACGGGAAAAAATGGTTATGCATTGTACTTTTCTGCAGAGCACAGGATAAGTTGAATCTTGACGTTTTTAAAGAAAAATGATTGATTGTGTTAAAATAATAAGTTAACAACATAAAAACGTTTAGACCGGAACCACTGTACACAAACTACAAACGCCCCCAGAAGAGTCACAGAACGTTCAGCAACAAGCGGAAAACAGTGTTGCGCGTCAAGTGGAAAGTCAATGATACTTTGGGTTTGCAGCAGTCTGCGAAAGCAAAAGTGGTCAGTGGTCTCCTGGGTGAAAGTCCTGTCCGCTGTCCTTGATCCGTCTTCCTCGCTTATTATACTGCTTATTATGATGATACTGCACAACTTACTATAACATTCTAGATATTCTATTTATTGCCCTTAACAAATGTTAACGTTCTACATTGAACATGTCCGTTGTTATTCAGACATTTAAAAATGGTCCAAAAACTCCAGGCGACTGGGATGAATATTGGACATTTTTGGACAGTAAATATATATTTTTTAAATGTCTCTCTTTTAACCCTGGTTTACATAACTAGTTCAGAGGGGGTTCAACCTCTGTCCGCTCATCTGGTCCGCTTCGACCTTCAGTGTGCTATTGAGCTCACATCTGAGCGTTTCATTTCCTTTCATGTTCGGCAAACAGCTGCTGAACATATTTCCTGGAGCATAAACTTATCTTTACCAGAACTTTGCTCACACAGTAAAATGAGAAGACGTCTGACCAGCAATCCTCTGAGCATTAATACCCAGTTGATGGACACACGCGGTTGGAAACAGATCCCAGGTTCCCGTGAGCTCTGAACAAACACCTATTTTTCTCTGCTTAAAGAAAAGCAGCCAAATGTCCCGTGTAGCACACCCGACAATAAACACAGTACACAAAATAATAAAAGGGATAGAAAATCTACCAACTAGGCTGAGCCGCCATCCTCTCCATGTAGTCCATGGCCAGCTCCAGGGCCCCCGCCCTGTGCGGGTACAGCATGCAGAACATGGACAGCACACCCAGGTTGTTTCCGTACACCTCGTTCCAGCGGGCGCTGAACTCCGCGGGGCTCCAGGGGGGCAGGTACATCTCCGGGTGCTCCAGCATGGTTTCGCCGGCATCGCGGATCCTCCTCGCCATGTCCCGGTGGGTCCCCGTGGCCGCGTACTGCAGCTGCTCCACATCCCCCCGGTTGAAGTACAGCATCGGGTGACCATTGTAGTTGCCCCCCATGAAGGGGATTCCTCCGCTGGGGTCCGCTTCCGCTGTCGCCGCCGCCGCCGCCGGGGCGAGCAGGGGCCACAGTAGACCTATTAAGAAGACTGTGGGGGCCCGCGGGTGTGGGTTCTCATGGTCTCATCAGACAGGGGACTGTGGGCGGGGGAAGAGATGGATTAGAGAAAAACAGCTCAAATTCTGCACAGCGTTTACTTACAAAAGCCCCGCATTCCTTGAATAATTAGATACAGCTGTAGTCCTGATGATGCAGGCTTTCCATAGTAATGTGGACTGGAAGTAAACCCACTACTGTCCGATGACAGGGGGGGGTCACGGGCGTTAAAACCAAGACAAATAGTTTCCAAATTCTTAGTTCTCTATAGTGCAAGAAAATATAATGATACCCATCTGCCATGAAATCTTTACTTCTACATAACAGCCCGATCCGGATATCGTGTTACACCCGCGGACACTTTGTTTCCTCGCGGTCACTTGCCAAGATTTCTTTCTGAGGGGGTACGTCTAGCCGTGCACACCCAGATGGCGAGGAGGGAGGCCAGGAGGTCGCGGATGGCTCATTCCTGCCGTGACATTACTCTACAACCTCTAAAGAGTTGGCCCGCCGTCCGCGCTCTGAACATGAGAGTAAATTCCATGACCTTAGTGGAGCTCTTGGCAGAGGCCTGCTGGAAAACTCTTTGGTAGGGATTTCAACAAAGTCCGGACCGGGGTCCATTTTAATGGAGCGAGCGGTCCGAGGCGTTCGTGAAATATGTTTTGCTTCTTTTCTTTTATAAAAACTTGTAGAAAAACGCTGCCCGTCTTGAGGTAAATTCTGACTGAGACGCATGTCACATTCCTTGTAGGTGAACGATGAGGATGGTGGATCTTTAGCCGAGTCGAGGTCATGAAGACAAGTCCGGACTAATTCATCACAAAAGAGCCGCAACTGTGTCAGAAACCTGTGATCTATTTTTTTTTTACTGCGGATACTTCCAAGCCTGAATGAGACTCATGTGAGACACGTTTGCTCTGGGCTAGTTTATTCAACTTAATGGATAATATTTGGTATACTACGCAAATAAAGTCATTAGTAGTACTCTGCTACTCAATAGTGATTTGAAAAAAAGAGATAAAGGCCCCTCAAGGCATCATCTGCTGTAGCAGGGTACACTGTGATGCATTCAATGGCTACTAACACCTCGTGTTTTTGAAATAGTAAGACGCCGAGTCCGTATTCTCATTTACAGTTAATATTTTACATTTACACATTGCAGCTTCTCAGACGTCAAGTTCTGTGTGACTGTGGATCCAACAGAACAAGACAGTGACGCTGTGTTCCTAAATTGTATATAGACGTTAAAACATATTTTCTGCCAAAAACCCAAAGTTGTCCGCGCAGTGCCAGGAAATGTGTCAAGTATCAAACTGGTGCATCGGGATTGATATTAAAACACATCCCCCTGTTCATAATTCAGTGCATGTGTGTTTTAAAAGCAGAACACCCAGCACTCCCGGGGGGGTCCTGTACCTTTGCTGTGGCCCGGCTCCAAGTTCCTGTTACTAATTCGCAGACGTTGCACTTGAGTCATTTTAATAAATGGATGCGCTGACATCGAGTTCCAATGTATCAATGCATCCTTTTATCGATTAGGGGATTATAAATGCAACTGTGTTACCGCTGTAAAACCAGTAAGCAGAAAACAATGCAAACGTCAATGCAGATTCTCAGCGCGCCTCCGGCCTTCACAACACTTTTGACTCAATAATAAGAAACTCAGTTATGACGGATTAATATATGTGGCCCTCCGTCGTTAAAACGTGTTAGTTAGAGCTGTAAGGTTCCCTTCACAGATCTCACCTTTACTTTTTCAAAAGTTACGCGTAACTTTTCCTTCATTACGTTGAGTCTTTCCGTTTTTTTTTAAATTTAATAAAAGATTTGATTTGGTGAGTTGCGCTTCCATGAAACCGCGAGGGGAATCACAGCCTCCAGAAGCCCAATATCATTTATCAATGCTATCGATAATCCCAATCCACGCGCACGAGCGCATTCACGGCCGCGTTCGCATCCGCCACGCAAAGACTCGGCGGCGGTGGACCGAGAAGAAGTAAAGAGAAGGAGGAGAAGGAGGAGAAGAAGGGGGAGAAGGAGGAGAAGAAGGGGGAGAAGGCGTCCTCGTTACCTGTCAGAAGCGCCGCTCGCAAATCCACATCCCGCTCGTCACAACACTCATTTCTTCTCGTCGATTTGAGAAAAGTTCTCAACCCGCTTGAAAAGTGTGTTTCAGGGGTCGACGCGACGTTAGAAAAAGGGGGGGCGGGGGAGCGAGGCAGGAAGGGAGGGAGGGAGTGCGCAGGGAGCGTCGTGCTAGGGAGCGAGGAGGGACTTAAAGGGGACCTAATGGACCAAGCGGCCGCCGGCCTCCTCCCACTGTGCCGGGCGGTCAGGTAGCGGAGACCCGGCGAGGAGCGTCAATACGGCGCGTTCACTCGTCACAGCTCGCTTCAAATGAGCGTTATTTGCCAGCTGCAGCTTGAATCTCGTTAATATTTTACATTTCACAAGCATAGAGTGAGCGCGGGACAAGCCGCTGTTTGCATATAAAACAAATAGGGAGCTTCTGTCTAAAAACAAGCGCTCAAGCTTTTGTTTTGAAAAAAAAAAAGAAATCCATTTGGCAAACCGCATGTTCTTATCTTATCCAACAACAAATACGCATGCAAAATGCCGAGTACATCCCCTGGGATGCAAGTTAATAAGCGACGCCGAAGTGGTTTACAACATTCTTGCAGGAAATTCCTGTTTTTCACAGCTGTCTTTATTCAACTTGCTCATTCTGGAGTTTGTGTTTGGCTGTTTTATTGTTTAGCTATTAGCGGTGTGCTGTCCACCTTGTTGCGCACCATTGGGAATTTCAAGTAGAGCCAAAATGCTTAAAGAAGGGAATACAAATAAATCAAAATGTCCGATTTCAATATGATTATCCGAGCGATGAATTCCCCCAAAACGAGCAAACCATTGTAAAATGGATATTCTCTTGAACTTCATGGGGAATCAATGCACCGATTTTTTATTCGGACAGTCTAAGGCGTAGAATCCATACAGGTCTGAAATGTCAATGGGAAAACATTGATATACATGTTGATTTGGTTGTGCATGCGCGTCTCAAATTGGGCCCCATGTGTTTCCTATTTAAACCCGCGTGTGATTGAACAGAGCGAGGTCGTTGGTTGCAAAGCAAACTCAAGAAGACAAAACCCTATGTAAGAAAATTCTAGAACGTTTTATTTCCTCGACAGTACACTCAAGCACAGAATTGATCTTTCCCTGTGTTTTCAAGAACTTTGAATACCACAAATGAATCCAACATAAGGCAAATGTGCATTTCAAACGCTCAAGTCAGATGAGAAAAGAAGAGGACAATCACCACGGCTGTATGCATAAAACACTCGCACACGTGGCACAAGTACAAATTCACTTTGGATGGCAAATATCACACACGTGACAGCTATACGCTGCATATTGTCAAAATGTTTTATCGCTTGAATAGATGAGGAGATTGAAAGCATTATCATCTTAATGTGGTTAACAGATTAGTCCGGGATGTTTAGCCCAGCTTAGCACAATTGCTAAGAAACACTTGCTAGCAGCTAGTCAAGACGCTAGTCAGAGCGCATCAAATGTACCGTTTTAACAATAAGGGACCAGAAATGATCTTTCAATAGACCCAACGATGCGCACAACAAAACGTTTTGAAGTTGTTGCATTGTTGTATTTTCTCACATTTGACTGAGGCTAATATTGGTCCAGTCTTAACGCTAAGCTAGGCTAAACAGTTCCCGGGTGTACAAAGATAAAAAAACAATCTTGGGTGACACGAGAGAGACAAGCAAACTTCCAGAGTGTTTTTTTTAATATATTACGGCACAACCCGTCTATGCACAACGACAAAATGACCATTCAGAAGTCGGTAAAGCATTTTCTCACACGGCACACGAATGAAGCACAAGAAGTCCACGTTTTTACAGAATCACTCGAAGAGCACATGTCACCATTGCACCAAAAACAAAAAAAGAAAAACGATACAGAGAACATCTAGCATAGTCTTTATCATTTACCATTAATATTATTAGGCGTTTACCAAAGTTGTGTTTTTTGAGACAGCTCACACAAAAGGACAGCATTGTGCCGGGTCTTTGGCAACAATGACCTGATTACGATTAACACCTTCTACAAAACGGACACAAGGGAAACAGTAGACCTTAAACCTAATGTTAAGGTTACTAAGATGCATACAGTTAAACCATAGTTTTCTTAAAAAGATGTATAGAAATACTGACACAATGACTCCAATGGATTTTTAGGGACAAACACACTGTGGCCATCTGTGCACTGCTTACAGTAGAGAGAGTTCTTGAGGTAATCAAGGTAATCAAGGTTGAAAACAATCCACCATTGAAAATAATAAGGGCCTCACGCGTGGAAACAATGAAAAAAACACAACATTTCCTGTTATTACTGTATGCAGAAACACACACACGCACACACTAACTGTCATATTTCCACATGTACGGTACACTAAACCACGAAACAACGTTCAAATGGCGTTATTACAGAGATACCGTGGCTTACATTCACATGGTTTCTCTGAATGAGGAGTGTATGCTTCCTGGGCTCCACAGAGGGCGGTGGGGTCAGGTGGGAAACTACAGGAAAAGATGGAGGCACATTCCTCTCCTGAGGCAAATGGGTTACGGGAGAACTTTTTCTTTTTTTTTTTTACTTTTCCCCCCTTTTTTTCCCTTTCTTTCTTTCTTCCTTTTTTATGACAGACTCTCACACCTCCTCAGCAAAGAATCCGGGGGCCTCGGGTAGTAGCCGGTGGTGCAGGGCTTGTCTGGAGAAAACCTGGGGAACTTGTAATCCAGTGGGAGATCTAGAAAGAGTCAAATCCAAAACAGGGAAAGGAGTCAAACGCGGACCGCCTGAGCGTTTAATGCACCCGTGCCCCCGAAAAGCAAGAGTTGTCGAACCGTTGCTCTGAACAGCAGGTAGTAATCACGGGCCGGAGCATGTCGGGCCCATTCGTGTTTGATCTTTTTGAAAGACAACTTTGGCAGAACACCATCATAAAGGCCGGGCCAAGAGAGACAATAAGGTCCCACCACAATAAACTTTGACCTTTGCAGTCCCTCTGGAGGACAGTGTATCAGAGCACCTGTTTCTCCTTAGAAAACCTCTCATTTGAATCCACACTTCTACTTCTTTCACTATTCTTGTGTCCAAACGAGTTGATGTATCCTCGTACTACAATTTCTATCACATATTGTAAAAGGTTTGGCTTCAAATAACTACAGAAGTGGCGTTAAGTACGGAAGTTACGTGATAAACACGACCACCAATAACTTACCAATGCATGATATTTAATAAAAGGTGTGTGTGTGTGTGAAGTTCATTGAATATCTCCGCATTAATGTCCCTTTGCAAATAAATATGGGCAATGCGCCCAGGGGTTTTTCATATTACAGGTTCTGCGGGCACTTTGTGGATGTTGCACAGCAAACGTTTTGTTACAATAAAAATGAGATACTGCCATCATTTTTGCACTACCAAGCTTGTCAGCCTTTTTCTGAATGTCGCCAATCAGAACCGGTAGTTTCACTTCACCGCCGTAGACTTATTCCAATTAATCTGTGGTGTGGTTTGTGCAGCCAGAGCAATCTGTATGCTTCAAGGGAGATCGTGCATTTGTGTCTAGAAATCCTGGCAACCGTGGTAAGCACCTATACTTTGCAAACAGATTAAAACAAAAGCACTCAAATGTGCACCAAAGGCAGACCAACAGGTCTTTTTTTTTTCATTTTCCAAGGTCAGACTTAAACAAATGACCACAGTGTGAAAGCAGCCCAAGGGTCATTGTTAAATGGGAGGCGGGTGCCATTGACCCAGAACGGCTGTGCCGATGAGGTGGTTCATTTGAACTAACTTTGGCCCCACATCTGCGTCTGTTAAGTGCTCATTTTGGTGCTTGTGAACGTGTCTGTGTTGAAATGATGGGATGGAGAGAATGTTTCATGTGGGGATTGAGATTTCTAACAGCGCATTGTTTTTTCCCTCTGATCTTTAAACCACAAATTTCATTTTTTGGTTTCTGTGCACCATATGGATCCATACACAGGAATACACTGGCAAACAAATAGACATTGTTTGGTTGAAGGGAATAAAACATGACTAGATTTTTGTCACTATGTCTTTAAGCTAAGGAGTGGTAGCGAGGAAATCCTCCTTAATTTACTGAACCACATCTCACCACAGTCTAATTTACCCTGTATTCAACCAGGAAGCGGTTTGAGTTGCATCGCGCGCTGTTTACCACGGCACAGCTTGTTCTTCATTTATTTTAATCTTATTATAAACCCCCAGCCCGTTTCTGAACAATTAGCACCTCCAGCAGAATTTGAGCTTTTACAGAATATGTAAAACCACAAGCGGAGGCCTTTTGGCCACCCAGGAGTTCAGCCAAACTCTTTTGTCTCAGGTCCCTGAGACTCAGGAACCCCCCGAAGACGGAATCAGTGTCCATTTTTATTCTACATATTACTTGATTTATGTAGATTCTGCTGTCTCCTATTTTGTAAGTTTTCATCACGTCATTTGCAGGCCTGTTTGAATTTTCTTCCCTTCTCTTTCTCTTTCTAAATTGTAAAACTCTTTGTATCATGTGTCTAGAGGAGTACTTTTTGAAGGTTATACATTCTAACTGCTGGTGTTACTACTATTTGGAGCCTTTTTTTCCGGCCTTCCGGCTGCTCCGTGTGCCTGCCAGCAAGACACTCAACTCCTAACTGCTCTCGGTTAAAAATGCAATGTAAGTCAGCTAAGTGACGCGTAATGTAACGTGGATGTCAGCGCCGCCACGTACCTGCTATGTGCTCGACACTGGGGATGGCCATGGTGCTGTATTTGTGAATACTGTGGCAGCACCAGGTCAGTTTCTGGCTCTCCTCGTCCCCTCCTCCGCTGCTGTGAACGTCGACAAAGTAGGAGCCCCACTGCTCGGACACATCGGAGGGCGACTTCATGCCCTGCTCCTGTTGAGACAGTCCACACACACACACACACACACACACACACTAAACTATGTAACTGTGCTGAGATACATGTGCGGACACGATAAAAGGAGTCGAGAATTCCACCCTGACGGAGTGCAAAGGAATACTTTCTTTAACCCGAGCAGCTTCGAGGGTAATTTCTGACGACTACGCGAAATGTTATTTCTGGGAAATTCCGCAATCACTCAGACGACATCTATCTGCTTTTTTACGCTGGAAAAAAAAACGCTGATGAGCAGCAATCGGTGTGACAACAGGATGAGGTGATTAAAGAAGGATGTGACAAGACGCCACACAAACCAATACATACAAGTCAGCTAATGCCCTCAGGACGTGTTGCACAACACCCAGAGAGATTAGAAACATGTGAAACGTTGCGCATCACGTTGTCTTGGAGACAGAAAGAAAATTCATTTCTGAACATAGTTTTAGAGAAGCGAGGAGGAAATAGAGGAACGTTGGGCTGATATTTCTGTAGGATGGGGAATTTCTCTCAGCAGGCTGAAGCAGAAACCACCGACCCACATGTAATCCAACCCAGATGAGAGGGATCAAGCTCGCCACAAAGTGCACTGCTTTACGTGACTAGTTGAAATGCACCTATACATTACAGTAAGCGCATGCAATGACTCACAGAAAGTGGAGGAATTGTGTTATTAAGTCTGCAACCACTAAGTCTGCGTTTGAGCAAATGCTGATGAATTAAAGGCAATCACGGGAAGAGGAAGAGGCGTTTCCTCTACTTCATCGCCATTAAGATTGCATCTGAAGTCGCTATCTTTGTTGATTCTGTTTGTTGGCACATTGCAGTTAGCAGGAGCAGAAGCTCTTGGCTGTATGTGACTAGTTTAACTACACAGCTTTCGGTATTTTTTGCGAGGAGACCACTGATCGATGTGCTGACTCGTCACTTTTTGTGTTAAGAGCCTTAATCTGCTCGGTGAGACAAAGCGCATTCACGGCAACAAAGCTGCACCAATTTTGCATTGCACTCCACCAACCCGAGGGCGTGCGTCAGTGCGTCTAATGCAGCCTGGAGCCGAGGCGAGGAGCTGAGTTGTGCGCTCGCTGCTAAACGGAGACAGCTGCCTCAGTGAACTCACCTCAAACTTTCCCCTTTTCTCCAGCGGCTCCACTTGGGCCTCGTTGGACAACGCCGAGTCGCTCTTCGGAACGCCCTCCCCTTCCATTTCCTCCACGATCATCACCGTCTCCCACTTCCCAAAGCTGCTGGCAGGAAACATGTCCGACCTCATGCTATCTCCAAAATACACCACCTGCAGGGGTTAGTAAGAAATATTTAAAAAGACAAAGACAAAGAGGACAGCGTGTTTACGGCTTTAGGTGCAGCGGTAAAAGACCTATTTTCTGACGTGCCGTTAAAAGTCAGCCGGCGTGCGTCTCATCCCAGGGTGAACTAGACCAGACACGAGGAGTCTGCAAAACTCATCACATCTCTTTTGTCTTGCACATCTGGATAGGAAAGCAAGCCGTGTCAGGATTTGCTGAGACACATTACGAAACTGAAGAGCGGTTGCACACACGGCTCAAAGCTTAAAATCCTTTTACAACGAGCATTTGTTTTCAAAAGCCATTATTTTGTTTTGGTTTTTTTACATGGGAGGAGAAATGGAATGAGGCGTGGATGATGATGGAATGGAAGACACGCTGCTGGCACAAGAAAAAGGCATTGGTAAAAAAGTAATAGTAAGCACAAAGGGAAAAACCATTAAGACGTTGTTTGAACGTTTGATTGACATAATTAAATTACTACTAATTCACTTGTTGGGAGTAAATTCGATAGTTGCGTGCGTGCAAAAGTTGTTTGTGCAGTGTCGGATTACATTGAAATAAATCAAGTTCACGTTTCTTTACCGTCAACTGAAATCACAAGGATGAACTGTATGACACAGCTAAACTAAAAACAACTAGCTGTACGCATGCCAACCCTCACGCACACGCCTGTTAGTGTGTGCTGGATGGAACCCAATCAAACGCCTCAGCGGGAGTCGGACGGCCATAAAGAGGATGCACATGCGCGGCATTCCAGTAGCTGCGCTCCGTCCCTCCCCCCCTCATGCGTCTGAGCCCTTCCACATAAACAAGCACGCGGGCTAATCGGCTGGGGCCCTTTGGTGGGGTGGAGGCAGGAGTCACATTTCTACCCGACCGGCCCACAGCTGGTCTTCATAGCCCCCCCCCACTTCCAAAAAAACAATCACCTCACTTCTCACTTTCCGTTGCTCAGCAGTACTGCTGCGGGATCACGACAATAAATATTGACTAAGAAGCCCAGCGGGGAGGCCAACGTACTCCAGAAGAGAGCCATTGTGTGTGGATACAGTCACGTCAACCACAGACTGAGCTGCGAGTGGGGGGGGGGGGGGGGATGCACCGCGAAGTGAATCAGACTGCGGGATGGGCCGACGCCCTAGAACGCCCCTGCACAATATGACCCTGTTCGCTTTAGTGACCAGATGCGCCAGGTCTGAACTCGGCCGTGTCCCAATACGCGAAGTATCCTGCCTCATATGATGGTGAGGGGATATATTTCCGGGGGTCAAGGGAGCGGCTGTAAAGCGGCTTTTCATTAACTAAACATTCTTCAGATTCCTCAGTGTGTTACTTAATTAATCCTCCCTGTGTGTATTAGTAGACTCGTTTTTTGGAAAGGTACCTCCTACGCACTGCTGTAATGTGTCTGCAGGCTTTTTGCTCGAGGACACTTACGCACCGTAGGGGTCGCCGATGGAACCTAAACCGTGGCGCTGAAGGACGACCCCGCCGCCCAACATCACGGACTACTTGTTGCTCTCCGTTGACAGGAGGTGCTGAATTAACTTTGCCGTGGCACATCGTGAATAAGGGGCTGGGGCTGATACGTGGACCATCATCTCCTCGGTCTCCCAATCCCTCAGCAACGACTCAGCTAGACTGCGTACGAGCAAATGCCAGAAATGAGCTCTTGCATTTTCTAATGCCGGCATCAACACCAATGAGATTATTGTTTATTAACCGGTCATTGGGTGTTAAAGCGAGGACACACTGCAGCTTTAGGATGCCATGAAGCGAGGGCCTGTGGCCCCCGTCTTTTATAAGCTCATCACTCGGAGGAGCAGTTAAAGCCAGAGCCAGGTCCAGGTAAACAGAGCTGCAGGCATGCAGAGGGGCCCTTAATGAGCCCATTGTGCAGAACACTGTGTGGGGCCTGCAGCACTGAGGGCATATTGTCATGTAGCCTATGGTTATATTCCCGCGAAGCTGTGAAAGGTTTTGCCAACAGAATGAGATCATTTCACATGTTTTTTTTCTCTCCCATTTCACACTTGAGATAAACTAATTCAGCTTGACTCATTGGGACGACGCCATACTCTGGGCCTAATCATCAAAAAACACCAACCCCCTAAACAGCCTTACACCCACAAGGAATGTTTCTATTCCGCCCTGAAGACATACTCCCCTGTCATTACCAAAACAGCAGAGACACCCCTGAGTGATAACAGCGGCCCGTATCGGGCCTGAATCTCCACCATCCGTTTTGAGACGGGATTGAATGGCTGTATTCAGCCCACCTGCAATGAGTCCTGTCAGGTGAAAGTGGAGAGCACTGAAAACACTGAGCGCCTCAGGTCAACCCACAGGAGTGTTTAAAACAGCCGTGAGTGCAGATTGACACTGAATTCCACAAGAGCTTTCTCCACGTGGCCGGGGGAACAGAGGGGGCATTGAGGGCCGGGGAGGAGGGGGGAGGAGGGGAGGAGGAGCCGGGGATGTGGAGGATGACGAGTACTGCTCGCTGAACTTGCAGCTCTGCCTTTGCCTGATCGGCTCCTTCTTTTATTATTTAGTTTGGGGGAGGAACTTATACAAGCTTCATGCTGTTTTTTTTTAAATGTCCCTATTGACCAGAAATGTTACCTGCTTCAAACACCACTGGCACGGGGCTGAGTCGGCGTTTTAGATTTAGAAAAACAACCATATTTACTGATCAAAAGCCAACATTTAGTCTGTTTTAATCAAACTCTAAAGACACTCATATACGGATCAAAAGAAGTAGTCTGAGGACACTTGTGTCCTTTGACATAAACGTTCAGCAGGTGAGTCAAAGTCTTCAACAGCAGCATTTCAACGGCCTCCATTCCCTGCAAAGAACGTGGCAGATCTGATTCCGTAGAGCCGAAACCAACTACGGAGAAACTGAGCCGTCATTCAAATCTTATTCTGTGGTATCCGGGATTTTGTACTCGGAGGAACAAAACTGAGATAACGTAGACAAATGGGAGGAATTACTACGAAGTTCAAAAGTGTACAGTGCGTCGTCCCGCGTCATGTGTCGCTAATATTCCTGTCGAACAGACAGGCTTCATTTCCAATTCAACACGAGGAGCGTAGAACAGTTGTTCCCGGACTTTGCGGTGACTTTGTCGTGTTTCACACACACACACACACACACACACACACACACACACACACACACACGGGCGGTGCAGCGCAGTGCTCCTTTCTCAGCTCCCTCTGGACGTCTGCAGACCGTTTGATAGATTTTTCCTACAGATGAGGCATTCCGGCGAGGGACAGCGAGCCTCCCCTCCCCGCCGTAAAGCCGCCCGCCAAGTAGCTTTCAGTACGCGGCCTAATGTGAGCTTTGCTGGCCGGCTCCAATTCAGGCCGCCAAAGGTCTCAGATGGTTCAGCATTTTTTTTCCCTGAAGTGTAAACACTTCAACATTGTTTGTGCTTCTTTTTTTTCTTTTTTTTTTTGCTCGCCCCATCTTTGCATCCCAGCATAAATTGGTCACCATAACAATTTCCTTGTATGTCCAACATAGTTGGCAAATAAATGTTTCTGAATTGGGCCCCGTTTACAGGGAATGTCCCTAAACTAAAAACCTCTTATAAGAGTTGCTTTAAAGGCTGTGTTTCGTTATGATACAATATATCATATATTATATATTGCAATATAATGTGATACTGCACGCAAGGCAATATAATACATCTGATTTTAAGATTACTGTTTGCATGCATATGATTGGTGTAAAAAGGCTGACTTTTTTAATGTATTCATGCATTTCTCACAGTCTCACAGTCAATGGCGTCTTTTTTTAGAGAATTTATACATTATCACAAAACATTACTCTGTCTGCTTTTATTAAGCTAACCTCCCCACCTTACTTGAGCAGTAAAGCAGAACCCTTCTGCACAGATTGGTCTACAATAGACCGCATTGTAGAAGTATGAGGGGAGTTGGCTCCCAACGTGCCGGCACCCGGCAGCCTCCCTGAGTGAGTGGATTTATCGCCAGGCCCTCATCCTATTCAGCCAGAGTCGACCTCAGAGCGAGCCCGGCGATGGCGAGGTGGCAGCCTACCTTGGGCTCCGGCTTGCCCGTCATGGTCTTGACCAGCTCGTGGAGGTGCGGCCAGTTGCCCTGCGAGTACCAGCCGGGTTTGTCCAGCGACGGCAGGCCCTCGCTCTCCTCCACGTCGTTCACTGCGGGAGAGGACAGAGAATCAGACGCCGCGGTGACCCAAGCAGCCGGTCGCTTCGGTCCGACCTCCACCTCACTTCCAGAACCTCACAATAATACCATCACCATGCAAAAGGCGTAGTCACACGGAGCTCACGCAGCTCATCAACAGCCAATGAGGATTCTCCACTCAATGGCCCCAAGTTGCAATGCTTGATTAGAAGAAAAAGTAGTGCTGAAGAGTCCAGAAAGGTCCAGCTGAGAAAAAGGCTTGCGGTTACTTCTTGCATTAATGGTTTTTTAAACGTATTACTGCAGCGTTATATTGTATCACTACACAACAGTGATATAGTATAATACAACTGATCTTTTATCGTGTTGCAGCTCGTTTCCAAGCAGACTTATTCGCGTTGAATGACATTGAAAAGACGCTGCAGGCCTGCTAGCGCCTCTGTGAGGGAGTGTTAAGGCTCAATGGTGCTTTGTGCTATGAGCTTATTTCATGTATGCCAAATATTGTAACTGTAAACAATTTAAACGTTGATGTAAAACATTTTCCGGTGTGCATCTCTTATGTATCTTAGATATGTCCATGAAATCAAATAAAATCAAAGCGATAAAGAAAAGTACAGCTGAGGCAGATTTGTCCACAATTGGCCCGGTTTTATGACAGAATTGTAACATAATAGTTTTATTTGTAATATCACTTATAATAAGTGCTGAGAAAATTGTCCCCAATACTGATTAAAACACCAATGGCGCGTTGGCGAAATATGTTTGGATCCAATTTAGGTCTGGACCCAACAATAATCCAACCGATTCGGTCTGAACCGAAGCGGTGGGCTGAACAAATACAACTTCACTAGATTAGAAAAGTCTCCTGAAAAATGGTGAAAGCTGAAATAATCCTGCGGAAACAACTTGTGAAGACCGATAACACCTTTCATTCGAACAGTTTAGAAAACAATTCATTATCTGGATCAATTACGGAGCAGCATGATCACTTTCCAGGTTTTTGTCCATCTGGCAAATGTTATTCCAATATTCGGTCTCCTTTTAGCTCAGTTTTTGGTCTCATCCAACTCTTGAGCGGAATATGTGGCACATCTCTGGATACTTTGCAACTCATTGAATATGTTCATATAAAAATAATCCCTCTCCATGAACACATGAGGGACTAGAAGTTTGCGAGGGTGTCTGTGTCTGCAGAGGACCTTCCCTCTGCCTGTTTTCTCTTATCTTGTTATTTTCCGGACATTTCTGGGCGTCAACCTAAAGGTGGTATAAATAAAGAATAGGTGACAGGGTGTTGGCACTATCATTCATCCATAGCAAACAGAGGCTGCTTTTTGCTGCAGGCTGACTGGCTGAAATGTCAGTCTTCCCTTCCACTGACCAGACTTGGCATCGGACTCGGAATGAATTAATGCAGCTCCAATGCAGCGTAATACAACCGCTACTCTATACGGTCTCAAACTGTTAAGAAGAGAGAGTTGAGCAGTAAACTCTCGGGGTCGATGGCGCCGCATGGAGTAGAGAGGGTGCGCCAGGAACCCACGAGGTTGGTGGTTTGAGCCCCGGCTGCTCCATGTCCCATGCTGAAGTGTCCCTGAGCAAGACAAATAACCCCTAATTGCACCTCCGGGCAAAAATGTAAAAAGTCATGGGTTATAAATGCAATGTAAGTCGCTTTGGATAAAAGCGTCAGCTAAATGATGATGTAATGGAATGAAAAAATGTAATGGAATCAAAAACAAATGGCCACGTATTTGCATTCGGTCACAAACTCTTTGTTAAGTTCCAACTAAACCATGCGGTTGCTGATTGTATATGTGCCACACCAGTAAATGGAAAGATGTCTAATTTACCTCTTTTTTGTTGTTGCAATTTTCCCGAATGTTTGCTTAAAGCTCTTGCCTTGTACTGTGTAACGGCAGGTTTATACCTAAAGCTGATCTACTTAAAGCAATGAGATTGGAGCACTAACTAACAGATTATTTCAAAAGAGCCCTTCTGACAATGTGAGATACAGACTCATACGTATATATTGAAATCTGCAGGGAAATCTGCTTGTACTTCTCATAATTGCAATGGAAAACGTTGACAGGATTTGGTTCCAACTTTGCTCAGGCACGGCTTCTAAGAAGTTTTTGTCACTGCAAAACACGGCTCCCCAATTAAATTGAATTATTAAAAAAACGGGACATTTCCATCAACATTAGTTTAATAATGGCTTCAGTGACTCTCAGGGAGAAAATCATGATGTCATCAGCGTCATCTTGGCTGAAACTCGCAGACTTCTAATTTTTAACGGTTACCATATGGTGCCTCCGACTTTAAAACGTGGGCTTTTACTAAGCATGAAGGCTCAAATCACGGCCTGTATATGAGAGGTGGACTCTAGTTGACGTCCTTCGTTGTCTTGTGGAATACGGGCAACGCCGTGGTAGGAACTTGTCAATCACAAGAGCTTTACTGTCTAGTTTACACTAATCGGGATCATCGTTTACTAGATGAACATCACGCTGTATTGAAGAAGACGAAGAAAATAGGACTGATGTTTTAAATCAAGTGAGAAGTAGGAGCATTTTCCCATCGATTTTTGCAATTATTTTGCAGATAAAGGAGTCGCCCCCTGATGGCCATTAGAGAGAATGCAAGTTTGATGCACTTTTCAAAACCAGAAGGTGCATACATTTTCAAAATAACCTAAATCTATATAATTGCTATTGCTGGCCAGGTCTTCCTTGGTCAAACAGATCTTTAATCTAAAGGAGACAAACCCGGTTAGCCACTACATGATTTATTTGTGGCAGCAACTGCCGTAAAGCCTCTTTGATTACATTAATGAATATCCTTTTGAATGTGACATGCTGTCCTTTGCAGTTATCAAAAGATCAACAGACATGTTCTTTGTTCTTTCAAGTAGATAATTGCTCCTCTGCACTGAATGATATTAAGCAGCAACAGCAGCCGGTCGGTGGAAGATCATCACTCGCACTGACAAAATGTGGTGCTCTAGCAAGTATAGGTTCAAACTGAGGTTAAATATGCTATAAATATTGTGACAGGGCAGAGTGAAAGAACAGGGATGAGCATCTGCACACGTGGAAGTGCGCACACACACACACACACACACACACACACACATATGCTCACTCAAGCTAACAGCTGTGAAGACACTGGACTTAAAGCAAAGGAGGAATGAGAGAAATGTGGGTCTGGAGGCGAGCAGCAGCTTTTAAGACCCACTGTGGCATTTCCAATGAGCTGGGAAGTGATTTATGGAACTTCTTTTGGTTGACGTGGCCTTCAGTGATTATGGCACATTTTAAATAGCAATCTTTAACCCTTTTCCCAGCAATACTCTGTTCGTGTAGTGTCTTCCTCATGAAATTTCTTGTATTGAAGATATTTTTTTAATATTAAACATGTTAAAATGTCATAGATGCCAAATATTTGATTGAGATTCTTGTGGTTTCAATATGACTGTGATCCTTAACTGTCAGTCCGTCCGTAGCAGTGGCAGTGACAACAATCACATTTGTTGGGGGGTTTGAAGGTTCATGCTTTTGAATAATGTCAAGTTTGTATGGTTTGACCAAGAATTCAACAAAATAGTTTTTTTAAAATGTTTTGTAGCTAGCGACCGCTGTTAGCGACAGAAGTGCTTTAAACTGGCTCAAACTCCCTGTAAACTGCTGCGTGAATACGCCGCTTGCTTGGCGGCGGGTCATTTCAGAAATAACTATTGTAAAATAACCAGTTTTAACTGTGAGTCCTGTATCAAACACGTAGCGAAAAGCCTCTTTCTTAAGTCAGGGTTAGCAGGTTCCACGTCCCACGTGTGATATTGAAAGTCATTCTAATGAGGCAACTTGTCATTTGTGATTTTCACACATTGCTTTGATGCCGCCCAAGCTGAGCTGGAAGTGGCATAAATAGCTGATGATTAGTGGGCCGAAGTGGACTTGCATTAGCAGGACTCTCAGGTTATCAAGAAAACTTGGAGTGACCTTTTGTCGGGGGTGGACGCTACGGCCGATGGGACGTGGCGGGGGGGGGGGGCTCTACGGTCGATAGGAGGGGTAAACAACGCGGCTCGGACCGGAGTCGTGACTGGAAACCGAAATGCGCCCTGCATTAGTGGACACACACACACACACACACACACACACACACACTGTGTGTCATTGCTACACGCGCAACGTTGCAAAATGTTAAATCATTTTTTTGTTCAATCAATGTTTGTTCAACAATAAATGGAATGTAAAAACAAGGAATGTTCCCAAACAAGAGAGGAGTAGCCGGTACGCGTGGAGGCCAGAGGAAGAGCAGATGCTGATATTTCCTTCTGCCAACGTGGCAGGGAGAGAGAGGGAGAGAGAGAACAAATGAGAATCCTTCACTGGCTGGATCGTCCTGGCGTCACACATAATGCATCAAATGACTGGGCTAATGAGGGAGGGGGGGTGGGGGGGGAGCCCAGGGTGGTTGCAGTCATGTGGGCCGCTGACGACGAGGAGCAGAGCCAATGAACTCTCACTAACACAACTAACAGCTGTTTGAAATCTGGAGATTACAGCTGAACTGATTTCCTACGGTGCACTAACGGACGCTTCTTCTAAGCCGCTCTCACCGAGAAAGCCAGTAAACATATTATTATATTCCTCATAACTTCTCTGGAAGACGCTTAATTCCACAAATAATTCTAGGTGACCAGATTGGGCTGGTTAGAAGAAGGGGAGGGGGCAATATCCGACAAACACACACAGTGTGCGTCCAGGCAGACTCTGCCGACACCAACTGTTTGACTGGGTTTTAATATTTATAAAGCAAATGCACCATATGTGTTTCTTTTGGGGGCTTCAGACTGCAGGACGGACCAAAAAAAGTGACGACGACTGCTGGGACTCTGAGAACTTGTGATGGGTGTTTTGTTTCGTTCTCCGCCAGATTTGAAAACTTCAGGAGACTAAACGATTGATCAAGAGCGAAAAAAGGAGCAGCCGGCCGACACTCACCAAGGGTCCTGAAGGGCCTCTGCTCGGGCACCAGGGAGAAGAAACCGGGCTTCAAGGCGTTTGTGATGATGACGTCAAACAGCTCCTCGAAGTCCTTCCTGCAACAGCCAGAGAATCAACAGCGTCAGCGTCCGATAGAGGCGCCTGGCCGCCGTGGGAAGGACAATGGACCTGGACAGCATCCAAATCCACTCCAGTTGCACAAGCGCAAATAGCTGAGCAGAAGCTAAGCGGCCTGCACAGATGATGGAAAACATGGAACGCACATGAAGTGATAGCGTGCATGTTAAGAGACGGACAGAGACCTACACTACTGTATATTCATGGGAAGTAGTGTATATATATATATATATATATATATATGTAAGAGAATCCTTATCGAATTGTCCATTTAAAGTGAGAAAGCCGTATGAGCCAGGAAGTACTTCCTACTGGGACTCAAAAACATGAAAAGCAAGATTTGTGACATCTTTATACAATAACCTAAAAGGTAATATTCAATAACAATAAATTATTGTGGATTGACATCTCAAATATCGTGGCAGCATAGAATCCCGTGCCTAGGGATTTTTTTTTCAGATTGTGAATTGGTTCATGTTAACGTAATAGACTCGGAGAAGAAAATATTGTGCTCTTTCTGAACTGCTTTCACTCCATTAAAGCCAGAAAAGTCCCACACTTCACAACAGCGTACGAATCAATAAAGCGCGCAGCTCTTCCTTGATCCGAGCAGCAGCGTCCCGGGCCGGCATCGCGCTCCTGTCAGACAGCTCTGGCCTTGTCGTGCGACTTCTGACAGCCGGCCGTCACTGGCATCCGGCCCGCTCACTGCACTCCCACCGGCTGGAGGCCAGAGGCGCCCCTTCCCGACCAAAGCGCTCTCTCTCAACAGCGAAACGCAGACATGGTTGAGAAACCAAAGAAGAAGGGGAAAAAGCTTTTGGTCCTTTGCCGCCCGGATCCGCCCTGATGCAGGGGGGGGGGGGGCCCACGGGCCGGGGCGGCCCCGCCCGCCTCCTCTCGCAGTGCTAATCGCAACACGAATCTGCATCCCCTGAGCTTGTAAAGCAAGGACCTGAACACGATCTCCAGCACACGCGATGACTCAAAGTCAAGGGGTTCTTCTTGGGAGGGCGGGCCGTGCACAGGGGTGGTGGGGCACCAGCGGGAGAGAGCAAGGGGAACGGGGAAGGACCAGCTGCTGCTGATGTGGGTGGGAAGGTGTGGGGGGGGGGGGAAACTTGAAGCGGAGTGCAACCCCCCCTCACAGGGAACAAAAGGGCTGGGTTTGTTTGAAGTGCTGCGATCACATGGGCATTGTGTGTGTTTCAACCGTTTCTCTTTTAGCTGCTCGATCATATAGCGGGGGGGGCTTAGGCTCCAAAAACACGCCTAAACCGCACAGGGTTCACCGCAAACAGAGGGGGGGCAGCGGAAGACAAAGACAGCGTTACTGCAGGAATGACAACACAACATTTATAAAATGATGTGTTGGGACACACGACGATCAGCGTTTCCCACACAGAGACTAATTTGTGGAGCGCCGATTCAACAGCGGCCGCCACACGTTGCGTTTGGTGTATTTAAAAAAGAAAAAGAAATATTCAAACGCTATTTAAATCACGCAGCGTATTCGTTCAGCTGCATTTCCTTTCCCTGCTCTCCCTCCATCTCAGTCACACACACACACACACACACACACACACACACACACAGCCCCTCCCCTCCGTGCACACCGCGTCATGGGAGCTAATGGGAGTTGTATATGGTGTGAATTGTGTATAGTTCTATCTAGCGACGTGTGTTTTTGTACGACGTTTGAATCCCCGTTTTGTATTCACTTTTGGATTTTTTTGTGTTGTTTTTGTATTCACTCGAACGAAATATTGCAGTTCAGCGGTCAGCCGCCCCCCCCCCCCCCCCCAAACCCTCCGTCAACCCCCACACCTTGGCGTTGGAACCGGGGGAAAAACAACAACGATTGGTGGGTTTGCCCTTTTAATTTTAACTTTTTTTCCAAAATTTTAAGCGTACAAACTTTGTTAAATTAAAATTTACTTTACTTAGAACATTCAAAAGCGATTAAACTTAAATAGGCACTTTTATTAATTATTCTTAATATTTTTGGGCCCGGTTTTTTATCATGTGTCTGGTATCGTTTTGGAAACAACTATAGAGAAAATAGGTGTTTTTACCTTTTCCTTGATCTGGCCTATTAGTTGTTATTGACAAAATCCGTCGTTTCTTTTTAGTCGGGCGCCTGAAGTAAGGTCTGTGGTAACCACCGGCTTAAGAGAAGAATGTGGAACTTTTCTTTAAAAGGGCGTCTGCTCACGAAATGAGATGACTAAACGTCAGCCTTCAGTTTAGTGGGAGTTCAGTTTGTTTGTTTTTTACTTCCGCTTCAAATCATAAAAGGTGCCGTTCACAGATATGTGAATTGATTGATGGGAGGCGCGGAGGAAGTGCTGCAGACCGGGTGATGGGGGTCAGGGGGGGGGTGTCTGTGGGAAGCCTCACCCCAGGATGTGTTCACAGATGAGCCTGCAGTAGTCACTGTGGGAGCTGGTGATGAGGAGGAGGAGCTTCCCGGCGCTCTTCATGCTGCGCAGCCAGGCCTTGACCGAGTCGGAGCAGGGCTGCAGGTACCGGCCCGGGTCCCTCTTCACGCTGGGGAAGTACGTCCCTGCATCCGCTGTACACACACAGATGGAAAAATAAAAAACGAAGCTACACCAAGCTTTGTATTACATTTAGAATAGTGTTTTTTTAGTCAAATAATGACACATCAAAAACATACAAGTAAACAGAATTGTCACAATCGGTCGTCGTCTTCACATGATCCAATAAAACGGTTCAGGAGATCGACGTCAAAGGGAGCATGCTTCCATTTCTCAGTCTCACTGAGTCACAGATATGTTTGTCTGAAGTCTGAGGGGATGAATTCTGCTCATACACGACCAAATATGTCATGGTTTGCACGGTGAAAATGAACAGACTGTGGTTTCAACATCTGAAAGAGTCTCTAGTTAAGAAGTCGGGCTTTCCTCCCCTTGAAGCCGCCCAGCTGCCCTTCGGTACATCCCGTCAGCATACTGTACAGAGCTGAATATGGCCGCGTTACACAATCCTGCTCCATTACACAATCCATCTCTCGACCGAATGCGCTCAGCGAAGCCTCATGAAAACGCAGTAAAAGAAAACATGAATAACACAACGAGCCGCACAAAATAAAGACACGTGACGCCAATTTGCACCACATATTGATGGGTTTGTGTGTGGAAACTAAGTCACAAAATGTGTTATTCCAATTGTTCTTGGTATTTCCGAAGAAACTTAAAATGGCAACTTGGGGGGGTTTGCAATTACAGGAAATGACAGTTTTTTTTTTACACCACCTTTTCCTCTGCTTCGTAATTACTCCTAAATGATCATTCGAACAATCTCAACCAACTGGATCGCAGACTTTCTTTGGAGCTGAAGCGGTCGGAGCCAATAAGCGAGAAGAGGCGTGACTCCTTTCAGAGGGCAGGTTGTGGACGAGCTGAGGCGTTGACCCTGGCAGAGAACCTTGTGCGTGCGCCGCTAACATGACGCAATACGCCTACTACATGCTATGGCAGCCCCACATATTAGTTGTGGAGATCTAGTTGTATGACAAAGCGACTGACTGGAGGCAGAGGTACATGAACTATTACGGCGTTACATAGAACGGACAGGAAGGACAGCAGAGGGAGAGAATGTGTCCTACACTGTTATTCATAGGAATGGGAGGTCAGAAGGAATCACTTCATGTTAAATGTGCTGCTCACAGGGGCGTGGAACAGTCACGTTTTAATTCTTTTAAGTGGTGTCTGGGCCCCACCTGGGGGCCCTGTAGGCATTTCCAAAGGGGTCGGCACCCAAAAGGACAAGTTTTTCTTTCCAATAGAAGTCAATCCATGTGTTACATGACACACGGTACGAGTACGAAGGGTTTTACACGAAGCATTGAAAGGATATTATGAGATGGGGGACCGGAGGACTAAATCTTATCAAAAAGTTGTCCGTGCTCCAGTTGTGTTCGCTCAGGTCTCCTTGATGGGACAAAGTTAGAGGATGCGGGTCCTGAACTTCCAGCAAAAAAGGCTCATGCCATCTTTCTGACGTCACCTCTAGACACCTAATGGGACCTTTAGAGGCCTCTGAATCAGAATGAAATAGGATTACTTTAATCCCTCAACTTTCCAAGTTTTCTAAATAATTTCTTTTTGAACTACTCGGTTCTTGTGCATGTGTGATGGGGTTTAAGCAGCTTACGAAAATCCTTTTCCCAATGGAAAGGTTTGGACCTGCTGCCCTCCTGTGGTGGAACACACGACTTGCTTGCTTGGGAAGGTCATTATGAGCTCCAAGAGGGCGGTAAAGGTGTCGAACCAGAAGAAGCACAAGCTGAACCCATGATCCAATCAGGAGGAGCCCCAGATCCACACCTTTAAAAATGACCGCGTGTAAACATTTGGTCGTAATCATCAGCACTTTTTTCTCTCTTTGATTGAATCCACGAGTTCACCTTCAGAGAAAGAGCCGGTTGCCACATCGACTTTAGGCCCTCAGTGGGGCCGTTTCAGTCCTCGGGGAGCCAGCAAGGTCAGCTGAGGGAGGTCAGGAGCGCTCCTCCGAACACTACAACAAACCCTTGTTGCACCGATATGTGTGCCATATACAAACAACTGACCTCGCCACTGCCTTTAAGTTACATATCATCAAATGCCACGCTGCAGGGATGCAGAGCGCAGGCCGTTTTATTCCACGGCAACCTGGAATGAACCACCACAGTACACATGTGGAGGAGGGCTCGCCCGCGTGTCGCCCCAATCAAAGAAAGGTCGTAGATTTAGTGGAAAATTGGGTCGGCAGCGAAACGAATGTTAAAGAAAGAGCCAACGAGGGCTTTCAAACACAAACAAAAAATGTTCGAGTTCCCCTGGAAACCGCGCCGCGTTGTTGCGAACACACTAATCATCATCTTGACCCTCATTCAAATATAAACGGCTCAAATTGTCGTAGTAGTGTCAAACTATTGGGGATATTATTCGATCAAGAATACGCGGTAGATGTAGGCGACAGATTCCTGCACAACTGTCATGTACGACTATGACCGCAGGCCTGTGGACCATCAAAGGCCACGGACAGGATGCACAAATCAACAGTCGGTGGTCGTGCAGATTAGGGGGCGAGCGCGGGAGCGTTTCACAAACAGCCGCACCAAAATGTGATGAGGGGACGGGATCGTTTTCTTTATCAAGGTAATGAGCGAGGAAGAGGACGGCCGTCCAAACCTATACTAAAAATGGATAGATTTATCCATTTGCGCACTATTCATAAGCTCTGTGTGCATCCATCGCTATAAAGGTAAGCTATAATCTCAAGTGTTCCCTAAAGCATCCACAAAAGCGGTGTTTTCCAGCACCTGTTGGGTGCACGTAGTAAACCGTGGCTGGGACGTTTGGTCTGTGGACTTTCCGTTTTTAGCCAGAGAACCGCAAATTGCTGCGTTATGCCTCAAAGTGTAAACAGCTTTTTTTCCTTTCACGTCTTTGGTCTGTGAAAGAGAAGGAAAATCTTGAAATGATGACAAAAATACAATGAAACAAAATAAAAAGCCTGCAAAGGGAACATGGGAATGACGATGCATATACACTTTTGAGGATTCATGTCTTTCTTTAACATTACGTTGGTACAATAATACATGTTAAAAGCTAAATTCACACAAATATTGACATCATGGTAAAGGTGCATGTTCTGTGTAGGAACAGAGTTGGGATAACAAATAAAAATGATATATTTTTGCAATGTACTTTTTCTTTGTTCAAATGAAACCTTTTAGTTAAGGTAAGGGGAAAAAGGGACCACATTAATGTATAGATGAGCATTGGGGCTAATGTAAATTATGATGCTACCATCATGTGTTCAAATGTAGAATCACCAACCTTAAGCGCCTTTAATAAATTATTAAACCCGCTAATGACTTATTTTAAATCAAGGCAAATATTTATGTATCATTGCAATTTTGCATTGTAATGACAATAACTATTACAGAAAACAATAAAAAAAAAAAGGAAATATAACATTTAGAATGTTTTATAGATGGCAGGTGAACTGTCAGTCAACCTGTTGCTGAAGCCAGTCGGGAGATAAAACATCTCTGCGATGGAGAACAGCCCTCAGCGCGGTTTGCTGTGTACGTGATGCTGTTGCAACAATAATTTTCTATCATGTAGATGTAACTGCGTCACAAAAAGTGTTATGCGGGAACTGTTTGAGCAATCGTGAAATCACAAAATGCTTTACTCATTTTCACACAAGTAACTCGCACTCTATTTCTAGCAGCAGTTATCTTTTTTTTATTTTTGGATCAAAAAGATCACCCCCCCCCCCCCCCTCCTCCTCCCACGTGAACAAATGCTGACAAAGCGCAGCGGAGAAAAAAAAACAAAGCCGGTTGAGGAAAAAAGGGACGGTGGTTTTTGGAAATCCCTGTGGGGGACATTGACACCAGACGCACAGTCACCCTCCGCTCAGAGTAAATGTGAGGGACATTTCGATCTGTCATCACACCAAACCAGAGCTTTATTTGGCCCGAGATATCTCAGGGAAACTGGGGAGTTGTGACTCCTGCCTCAGGATCTGAATTACAAAGCCTCGCTAAACACTGTACATTCACTACTGCAGCCTGGAATACATAGGAAAAAAAGATTCAAAAACACCCCCAATTAAAGTTAATTAAAAGGAATTAAATAACATTATAACGTATATTTAAGTAAATCTTTTTTGGCTGGAGGGTGCAAACGAACAGAAGCAAAAAAGCACAGAATGCAAAATGCGGTACATCCTGAGCAAGTCCCACCAGGTTCCTTTTAATCACAGAGGGTTTATGGCACTTCGGGCTCAAGGTGCAATCTCCATAAACAATAGCTTCAGGCTCAAAGCAGCATGTTGGGAGTCATCGCTTACAGACAACGTCTGTACATTCGCGACAGTCCTGGTTGCTTCTTGATAGTCGGGTGATGTCAGTTTCTTCCTTCCTCCAGTTTCTCATCTTTCCCGAACTCAGCGTGTCTCACCAAAAGTTACACCACTTATAAAACAATACATGTGGATAAATACCAACAGAGTGTCAAAGCAGGGACAGCCAGATTTTTTACCGTTTAATCCTGTGTCTTTGCGTGTTATTGTTCATTTATCTTTTCTTAAATGCAGAAGTAGTTATTTGATAGCAAATGGTTATTTGAGGGAATATCAGTGAATTTAGCAGCTCTAACATCTACTTCCTTCCTGACCGACTGCGAACCATAACACACCTCTTCCCGTGCACGGTTTATATTCCGTCAAAGCACCAAGAATACATTTAAATAGCAAAGCGCAGCCATTATAATAACTCTAGGTCTTTGATCCCTTAATGGTCCCAAGGCTCAAGATAAACTCTTAAAAGTAGCTGCCAGGGCGGCTTTTGGTTGCTGAAACTGGAAAATATGCTTGAGATTTGTAGTTGCAACATATTATAAGTAATCAAAAAGACAACACAGTTATATGTCAGCTTAATGATGCAACATTAAAGAATAAAAACTTTCTTCTAAGACAAAACATATTGTAATTTGTGTTTTAAAAGATACTTTACAGAATGTCCTGTTTGTATGTCCGCCCTTAATTCCT